TATAGATCTCTTCCCTTTTGGGAAGACGCTCGACTCGTCTCTCAAGAAGAATACCGCTTTTATTAAACGACTGCGAACCGCCATCACCGCTGCTACCCTCAGCACCTTCCTCCAGGAAATCCGAACTCTCAGCTTGCACAAGTACCTCTCCGAGATTATATCCGCCTGTTATGAAGGACTATGCAGACTCAAGTCGCCCGGCGAGATCGAGGCTGGCGTCGAGATTGTCAGCGCTCTACACCAGCGCTTCGGTCCGAGCGAGTTCACGGAATACCTAGCTTGGCTGCTTGGCAAGGGCATGGCGACACCAGATAAGAGTATCCTCAAGGCTCTGGCTCCCGAAGCTCGCGAGAAGGAAGAGAAGGAGCGCATCACCCGCCAGCGCGCATTGCTCCGTGTGGTGACCGAACTCTGGCTGGTTGGTGTTGTAAGGACTCTCGACGATGTAAGCCGACCCGACGATGCGACAAAGGGGGCAGCAGGCAAGGTCGCCGAGCTCAAGACTCGAACGAACAAAGGTGCCGGTGCAGACCCCTTCCCATTGGAAGTGCTTAAGGACCTCCTTGGATACGATCGCGAACACGCAAATCTCCCACTCCTCGTCATCTTTGTCAAGTCATTCGGCTGGGATATTCTAGGGGTCAAGCCGAGTGGTGCGGATGGACGAAAAACGGTTGAGGAAGACGGCACAACTGAGGGCAACGAGGACACCAATGATGAGAAGGACGAAGGTGGAATGTCTTCCGACTCAGATCAACCATTTACTGAACCCGAGATGCGAGAGCGTTTCAGGAGTGTTCTCAAGAAGTACTTCGACGACGTCAAAGGGCACATCACTCGAGATCAAAAGTCTATTCAGTCACAAGCTCGACGCAATGCCGAGGCGTACGTCAAGTCTGGCGAGGTTTTTGAAGATCGACAGGCAAATTATGAGAAACAGGTCAAGGCTCAGGAGCGCCTAGTTTCCAACGCCCAAGTTATCGCAGATGCCATTGGGGCTGATATGCCTGACTTGAAGGATTCGGACGACTCACTCGGCGCATTCAATGGGTCAATTGGTCTAGTCAAGACCGGCGATTACTTGCGTTCGATGGGTGACGGAGCTGGTATCTGGGAGGACGAAGACGAGCGCCGCTTCTACGAAAACTTGGTCGACCTTAAAGGCAAGGTTCCGCCTATTCTGCTCGAAGACGGCAAGAAGAAAAAGACCGACACGGATGAACAAGTTGGCAAGAAGATTGATCCTGCCGAGGCCGCTGAGGCTGCCAAACCTGCTGATAGTGCTGATGATCAGTCAACGGCAATCGCCAACCGAACCATTGGTGCCCAGGTTGATGCTCTCCTTGCTCGCCTGCCAGAGCTGACCAACAAGGACGTTGTCGACCAGACAGCGATTGACTTTTGCTTCCTCAATTCCAAGGCTTCACGCAACCGTCTTGTCAAGGCTTTGACCGAGGTTCCCAAGGGTCGGAGTGATTTGCTTCCATCATGGTCTCGTCTTGTTGCTACACTTGGACGGTACATGCCAGATGTTCCCAAGGGCCTTGTGGACTATCTCGATGCAGAATTCCGAAGTCTACAAAGGCGAAAGGAGAAGGACTTCTTGGGCCAGGTTCGACTGAGCAACATTCGATATCTCGCCGAGCTGACCAAGTTTGGCATCGTCCCTGAACACGTCGTCTTTCACTGCTTGAAGGTGAGTCTCGATGATTTCTCGCGCATGAACATTGAGATTCTGTGCAATCTCATTGAGAACTGCGGTCGATATCTTCTTCGCAACCCCGAGACGGCTCCCCGTATGGTGAGCTTCCTCGAGACTCTCCAGCGCAAGAAGTCTGTTCAGCACATTGGACAGCCTGAGCGTATGCTTATCGACAACGCCGTCTACTATGTCGACCCGCCTGAGAGGCCGGCTATTGAACAGAAGGAACGGACACCAATGGAACTCTTTGTTCGCAAATTGATCTATGTTGATATGACCAAGAGAAATTACAGCAAGATTTTGAAGCAAATCAGGAGACTCCACTGGGAAGAGACAGAGGTTCGTATCCCTTGCTTCTCTATATACCGGAGACTAACGTGGTTTAGGTTGTTGCCATTTTAGAAAAGGTCTTCTCAAAGCCTGGCAAGGTCAAATATGGCAGTGTCCATCTCCTTGGAATTCTGCTGAGCGCCCTCTATCGCTATCATCCTGCATTTGTTGTCAAGGTCATCGACAACGTCATTGAGTCCGTAACCTTTGGGTTGGAGCAGAATGACTACAGATTCTATCAGCGACGCATAGCGGAAGTCAAGTATCTTGGCGAGCTCTACAATTACCGCATGCTTGAGCACCCAGTCATCTTCGACACCATGTACAAGATCATGACATTCGGATATGGTGGGCCCATCAACTCCTATTCAACAGGGCATATGACTTATTACTTCACAGGTGGTCCGCCCATCCCTGGCAAGTTCAACCCGCTTGATCCTCCGGATGACTTCTTCCGCATTCGCCTTGTCGCAACTATGCTGGAGACTTGCGGAATGTTCTTCAACCGAGGTGCAGCAGGCAAGAAGCTGGACTACTTCCTCTCTTTCTTCCAGGTATAAAGTTTTCTATTCAGCGGACAACGTCTTCCTACTAACTCGCACAAGTATTACATCTTCACAAAGGGGCCTCTGCCTATGGACATCGAGTTCTTAGTGCAAGACACGTTTCATCTCACCCGTCCACAATGGAAGCTCGCTGCTAATTTGGATGAAGCCGTCAAGGCGTTTCAACTTGCTGTCGCCCAAGATCAGAAGTCGGCTGGCCTTGACAAGACAGCCGATATGGATGACGCCACTAGTGATCCTTCGTCCGATGATGACAACGGCGACAACGATGATGTGGATGGTGATGACAACGACGATAGCGCCTCCGAAGAGGAGGATGCAGATGTGAGCCAGGCAAGCACCAAGCACCATGGTTTAGCTAACAAGCGGTTCCAGGACGTTGAAGAGGAGTCTGACAGCGAGAGCACTTTTGAGGAAGAAGCTATTGTTGTCACTCGACAGGAAGAGGAAGTTGACCCTGAAGACGAGGCTGACTTTGAACGTGAGTATGCCAAGCTGATGGCCGAGAGTCTGGAGTCGCGCAAGTTTGAGCGCAAACAGCTCTTCGACGTGCCACTCCCAGTCCGAGCCAAGAATCGTGAAGCACCATCCTCAGCAGAAGGGGCCAGCAATGAAGCCCCTCCCAACCACACTATGGCGTTCTCGCTACTCACCAAGAAAGGCAACCGTCAGCAGGTAGGAATATTTCTATTGGCTGAGATCATGACCGTGATGGCTAATCACGCACCAGACACGAACCGTCGAGCTGCCATCGGACTCGACTTTTGCAATCGCTATGAAGAACCAGCAGCAGGCTGAACGGGAGGAACAGCAGCGCATCAAGAACCTGGTGCTCAACTATGATCTTCAGCAGAACGAAGATCCGGATGGTGGTACAGACCCTGGCTCCCCAGAACTTATTCGCAATGTCAATATTCACATGTCAACTCAGGCAACGAACGGCCGGCGACGTACTATCACAACCGTCTGGAAAGGTCGAACAAGGACCGCGGGCAAAGGTCCAGGAAACTCCAGCTCAGCGATGTCGATTGGTAGACGTGTCAGGATGGGTAAGGTTCACAACTAATCTAGCCTCGGGCTCTCATCCTTCTTGGAGGACATGAGAAAGATGGTGACTCTGATGAGTATCCTCCATCTTGATTGTACCTCTATCTACAGGTCAAGATCATTCACACGGTCAACGCGCGCCCGATTCGCGCCACGCGTACACACTCACCGAGTCGGATAGCACCACTCGCCAGCTAACTAAAAAGCACCTGGCATGATCCGTTCCGAGCGTCATGCCTGAATCGCCATGGGTTCGAGGACAAAAAGGGCCATCATCATATCCCTCGGGACATGCTGAACGCCTCGTTTGGCAATGGCCAGGCAGACGCCCCCTTTTACTCGTCACCAGAGAGCTGTGAGAGTTTGCACGGTTGATGATGCCAGGGGAGGGTGTACTTGTCAGGGAGCCGTCGCGACGAACGAAAACCTATCAAGCATTTTCATGGGTCTGATGATCTTGACAGGCTGTTGCCGTAAAGACACCGCATATTGCTTGACACCACGAAATGAGATTTAGGTATCTGCGAATACGTCAGGTCGCTAGATGTGTTAGTTCGCTATAACCGAAAAAACAAACGTGCTCTATAAACGCTATTGATTCAGATATACTACTGTATTCCTTGGCCACTGCGGTGTGAGTGCTTCGAAGGTCATATTGGACTGCCAACAACGGAACTCACGTCGTATCCAATATCTGTTTGCCCTGATGGGAGACTTGTTTGCCTGCTCAAATGCTGCATACGGCTATTATCTGGCTAGTATGTTTCATTTATACTCGTTCTAGCAGTCGCCTGGCAATATTCATCCCGACATGTACACTGCTTCAAGAGCAAACTTCCATCAAGGTGGTGATGGTGATACCTACCTTCCCCCAATCGTGTCTTCCCTCTCAAGCTTCCCTCGCACCTTCCACACTCCAGTTCTCCCAGATCAAATCGTCCCCTTCCGTTCCGTACTCACCTCGAGTGGCTTGACATCTCCAGCTGTCAACTCACTCCGTTTGTAACACCCTTCGCCTCCTCTCATTCGAGACTCGCCATTACATGCGGGCAGCCGTCGGGCGCCCACTCGCTCACGGCAGCGCCACATTAAGGAGGTGGTCAATTTTGGAAGAATTCGTCCATCCGTCTTGGCTCCCGCGAGCTGTGAGGCTCTTTGCCGTGGTGAGCCTGCGGATCCTCGCTCTTCCGGTGTCGAGGGTGAGGCCGTCCGTCCGTTCCGCAACTCGTTGACCTTGGGCACCCCTTCCAGGTCGTGCTCACCTTCTCTCAGCCTCTGTCTCTGGGAAAACACTTCCCAGCGGGATACAACCCAGTCAAGTGCTCGGAAGGCATTGATACTATCCCGTTGCAATCATGGCGGTGCTGGATGACTGGCCTTTGGAAGACGTACGTATGCATGCATCCGAGTGATGCCCACTCTTCCTATATCAAAGCTGATCCGTTTCCAAAAGATTGTCTACACAAGTATCGTCGGTGTGGTTCTGGTGATGGCTTGCCTCGAGTGGTTTCTCTGGCTGGCAGCTTTCGTTTACTGCCTTATCAAGGTCTTCCGGAAGGCAGAACATTGGTCTATCAATGTACTTTGCATCGTTGTTGGCGTCGTATTTGTTTTACTCCGGTAAGTTGACGGCTTCTACTTTACATCGAAAGACACAGACTAACTCATTCAAGCGCCATCTTCCTTCCAATCATGGTAGTGACGCTGCCATTACCGAGTCAGGTTACCAAGCTATGGCCAGAAGAGATGGTGGCGTTTCTCCAGTGGTTCGCCTTTTGGAGTTTCGCCATACTGCTCACAGTCCCTTGGCTGTTCTGCATCTATCAGCTTGTGACCAATCAACTCGGCCGGACGAAGCGCATCAAGCAGGTTCTCGACGATGTGACTGCGCCGAAAGTCGTTGTTGTGATGCCTTGCTATCGAGAAGAACCCGAAGTCCTCATCAAAGCTATCAATTCGGTCGTCGATTGTGACTATCCAGCCGCATGCATCCACGTTTTCTTGTCCTTCGACGGCGAGCAAGAAGACGAGCTATATCTCAACACCATCGACCACCTTGGTGTGTCACTCACAATGGAGTCGTATCCTAAGAGCATCGACGTAAGCTACCGCTCGGCTCGCATAACCGTTTCTCGATTCCCTCATGGAGGCAAGCGTCACTGTCAAAAGGTGACTTTCAAGCTCATTGACAAAGTTTACGAGCAATACCTCAAGCGAAACGACAATCTATTCATCCTCTTTATCGACTCGGATTGCATCTTGGACAAGGTTTGCCTTCAAAGCTTTGTCTACGACATGGAACTCAGTCCCGGCAATACTAGAGACATGCTGGCCATGACTGGCGTCATCACCTCGACGACGAGAAAACACAGTGTTATCACCCTGTTACAGGACATGGAGTACATACATGGACAGCTGTTTGAGCGGACTGTCGAATCCGGGTGTGGCTCTGTCACTTGCCTACCTGGTGCGCTGACGATGTTACGGTTCTCGGCCTTCCGGCGGATGGCCAAGTACTACTTTGTGGACAAGACGGAGCAGTGTGAGGATCTGTTCGACTTCGCCAAGTGTCACTTGGGAGAGGATCGCTGGCTGACACATCTCTTCATGATCGGAGCCAAGAAGCGGTACCAGATCCAGATGTGCACGTCGGCATTCTGCAAGACAGAAGCTGTTCAAACCTATCGGTCCCTGATTAAGCAGCGGCGCCGATGGTTCCTTGGCTTCATCACCAATGAAGTATGCATGTTGACGGATTGGCGCCTGTGGAAGCGATACCCAATCCTCATTCTAGTTCGGTTCATGCAAAACACCATCCGGACGACGGCCTTGCTCTTCTTTATCATGGTCCTAGCCCTAATGACAACAGTCAAGAAAGTGGACGATCTTCCCGTGGGATTCATTGCCATCTCTCTAGGCCTCAACTGGATGCTGATGCTATACTTTGGGGCGAAGCTCCGACGGTTCAAAATCTGGCTGTACCCGCTCATGTTTATTCTGAACCCGTTCTACAACTGGTATTACATGGTGTACGGGATCTTCACGGCAGGGCAGCGAACATGGGGTGGACCGCGAGCGGATGCTGCAGCAGCAGACACGCACACGACCGCACGGGAAGCTGTGGAACAGGCTGAAAAGCAAGGCGATGAGCTGAACGTGGTCCCAGAGACATTCAGAGCAGCACGCGAAGCTCGCAGAGCAGCATCAAAGCGAGAGTCGGCCGCAACGAGCAGTCTCGGACGGTCCAGGAGCGTAGTGCGGCCACCGGACAAGATTGATGGCAAGTTCTCAGCTCGTCAGAAGACAGCATCTGGGACATATCTGCATCCAGATGAGCTGGATGCAAGTGCAGAGGATGTCGAGTCAGGGACATACACCAGATCCCAGTTACGGGAGCGAGACTCTTTTGACAGTATCATATCTAGCGGAAGCATAGGCTTTGGGGTGTGCACGCCGCGACGAATGAAGCTTCTCATGGGTGAAGAAGATCGTCGCAAGTACGAGATTGCGCAACAGATGCAAACGCAGGCTTCAGAAGTGGGCAACATGCAGGCGGTTCAGTCTGGCCGGGAACTCTCGGATTCACCTCTGAGACGAGCAAACTATCTGGCCAGTACGAATGCAAGGCATCTACATGACCAAGGGCAGTACGGTCGAGTTTCCCAAGGCGAGTTAAACGAGGGGTCCAATATTGGCTCAACGGAGGATGTGGCTGGTCCAACCCAGGAGAGAGGGCAATCCAGGCTTGGTGAGAATATGTCGTTTGCGAGCCGGATGGCAAGAGGATTGAAGCAAAGCAGATAAAAAGACGACAGTTTACTCGAGATGAGCTGCAACATATTAGCTAGTAAGTGCTGCAGATGGGAGTCAGATAGGTCTATGCTAGATGAAGCTATTTTGGTGGAAGAGGTAACGTTATGTGGTGCAGATTGTTGACATGCCGATCTTGCATGGCCATTGACAAGTCAGGGTCGTACGGTCTACCCCGCAATATTGGAGCCAGACAGCCCGTCCATGACAAGATAATTTTAGAGGGAAGTCCGGAGATGAGGATGAGCGGAAGGATGAGGTTGCTGGCGTGGGATGAGATGAGGCAAAACAGACCAGACCGGTGGGTAGGAGGAGAGGGTTGACATGAAACGTGATGCATGGGTGGACGGTGATTTAGAAACAGGTTCTGCCAGTGGGATGGTGAATAATGCGTTATCATGACAAGCTCTTATTATTGAGGCCCGCATGAATGGATCACAACTCGGCTCGGTTGTCCAGGGTAGAGAGCCCAACGATGATCACAAGGAAGCATCTGGTTTGTCGGTGAGCCAGTGGAAGGGCAGCGGAGCGAAATATGCCTGATGTTAGTTGTTAAAGGCTTGGCACGAGTTGAAAGGTTGTGTCAAAGTCATGCAAATTAATGTTGAGGGCTGGGTAGTTGTTAGTCATGGAGGGTTAGCCGGGTTTTAAGGCCGCAATCCACGGGATGAATTTAGGGTCTGTGAGGTTCGTGTGTACCACGGAGGAGATATTGTCGAGGGAAGATGCTTAACATGTCTTGATGCTATTATACCTAGGAGTCGGGTCGTTGCTGGGGTCTCGTCTCGCCTGGTCACCTCTGCCCCTCTATCAATAACAGCTTGCCTCACCTTGGGGAGCGGGGGAGGGGCAGCGTCTTTCGCCCAGGCACTTTTCTCCTCCCCTTGCTAGCACAAATCATTTTTTTCAACCAGACGAGGCGAAGTCTCTAGGTTGCCTTGGACACGAGTCAAAAAAAAAAAAAAAAAAGGTACATCTGACATGCAATGACCCAATTGCGACTTTGATTAGGCGCCTTGGTGCTTTGGCTCGGTGGAGATGTAAGAGGTACCACCCCTGTAAATTGCCTACGTCTTTTTTTCTCTTTCTTTGCCTTGCAGCTGGAGCTGGCAGAATCGCAAAGAAGACTATCGTCGTTTCCAGATTCTGATGGATGGCAACAACGGGGACCCTGGACGTTATATCTATTCCCACTCTGTTTTCTAGGCAGAGAGGGGAGATAAGTTAAAGACTGAATAGAATAAATAGTTTGCTCTTATGCATTACTCGCATTCTCTTTGTATCCTTTGTTCTGAAAGGAAAGAAGGAGGAAAAGACGCATCTTCTCGAATCGCCTCGAATCCAAAACTGCAAAGGTAGACCATACCTGGTTTACATCATCGCACTACACTGCATCTACACCACGTCGCACATCGACCCGCAGGTACCTTCTACCTGATTCATTCTTCCCGGCTACCGGGAAACCCACTGAAAGAAACCGAATTTTCCTGTTTAGCCACTGTTTTTGGGGCCCTCTCTCAGTAAGCGGCTTCCCCGACCCAAGGCTTGCTAGGTTGCCCCTCCCCTCCTTCACTTCCCCTCCACCAAAGGAAAGGAAAGGGAAAAAAAAAACCACAAGCCAAACCTGCGGCCCAACTCCCCCCCTCCATCCTCACGATCTATTCCTGCCCTTGCGCTCGCCCTCTCTCTCTTGTTGAGCATTTGCGCGCATCGCTCACCCCCTTCTCTCCTCTTATTTCTTTCCCTTACCTTTAATACCCTCAGTTTGTGTGCGTGGGCAGATTCCCACCAGTCGAAATCATGAGTGTCGTTGGTAAGTTGCTTGTTGCCCTCTTCTTTGCTTTCGCAGCCTGTCCCGCAATCCGCTATCGCTTCCTACCTGCCGCCCACCTTCGGTCTGCGGGAGTGATAGCCTCATCTTGTATCCCGGATAAGCTTTGCTGACCATGGCGCTTTGTCTTCTACAGGTGTCGATTTCGGAACCCTCAAGACCGTCATTGCCGTCGCCCGCAACCGCGGCGTCGATGTGGTGCGTATACTCCCCGTCGTCCTGATCGACCACCGACCGTCCCGTCATCTGCGGTCGATAGGATGAACACACAATAACAAGTTCACCTTTGGCTGACTCTTGCTCTCTCACACAGGTCACCAATGAAGTCTCAAACCGAGCTACTCCGTATGTTATCCCCTCCCTCTTGACCCCGCCGTCAAATCAAAACAACCCCGCCATCATCAATCAGGAAACATGTTTACTGACAGCTCTCGCTCTACAGTTCCTTGGTAGGCTTCGGCCCCAAGTCTCGCTACCTCGGTGAGGCGGCCAAGACCCAGGAGATCTCCAACCTCAAGAACACCGTCGGCTCCCTCAAGCGCCTCGCCGGCCGATCTTTCAACGACCCCGACGTTCAGATTGAGCAAAAATACATCACCGCTGCCCTTGCCGATGTCAATGGCCAGGTCGGCGCCGAGGTCAGCTACCTTGGCAACAAGGAGAAGTTCACGGCCACCCAGCTCGTCGCCATGTACCTGAGCAAGATCAAGTCTACCGCCGCTGCCGAGCTCAAGCTGCCCGTGTCCGACATTTGCATGAGCGTGCCTCCGTGGTTCACTGACATCCAGCGCCGCGCACTCATCGATGCTGCCGACATCGCCGGCCTCAAGCTCCTCCGCCTCATCAACGACGGCACTGCCGCCGCCCTGGGTTGGGGTATCACCAAGCTCGACCTCCCCGGCCCCGAGGAGCGCCCCCGCCGTGTTGCCTTTATCGACATCGGCCACAGCAGCTACACCGTCTCCATCGTCGAGTTCAAGAAGGGTGAGCTCGCCGTCAAGGCTACCACCTGGGACAAGGACTTTGGCGGCCGAGATTTCGACCGCGCCCTGGTCGAGCACCTCGCCAAGGAGTTCAAGGGCAAGTACAAGGTCGACATCATGACCCACGGCCGTGCCCTCGCCCGCACAATCGCCGCCGCCGAGAAGACCAAGAAGATCCTGTCTGCCAACCAGCAAGCTCCCGTCAACATCGAGTCGCTCATGAACGACATTGATGCCTCCGCCATGATCACCCGCCAGGAGTTCGAGGCCATGATCGAGCCTCTCCTCGTCCGCACCCAGGCTCCCCTCGAGCAGGCCCTCGCCCAGGCCAAGCTCACCAAGGAGGACATCGACATCATCGAGGTTGTCGGTGGCGGTTCTCGAGTCCCTGCCCTGAAGGACAGAATCCAGGCCTTCTTCGGCAAGCCCCTCTCCTTCACCCTCAACGCCGACGAGGCTCTTGCCCGTGGCTCCGCCTTCAGCTGCGCCATTCTCTCCCCCGTCTTCCGTGTCCGCGACTTCGCCGTTCAGGACATCATCAGCTACCCCATCGAGTTCGCCTGGGAGAAGGCTCCCGATATCCCCGACGAGGACACCAGCCTGACTGTCTTTAACAAGGGCAACGTCATGCCTTCCACCAAGATCCTCACCTTCTACCGAAAGCAGCCCTTCGACCTCGAGGCTCGCTATGCTCAACCCGAGGACCTTCCCGGCAAGACCAACCCCTGGATCGGCCGCTTCTCTGTCAAGAATGTCAAGGCCGACGGCAAGGACGACTTCATGATCTGCAAGCTTAAGGCGCGTGTCAACATCCACGGTGTTCTGAACGTTGAGAGCGGCTACTATGTTGAGGACCAGGAGGTTGAGGAGGAGGTCAACGAGGAGGGTGATAAGAAGGATCCCGATGTGAGTTTTCTCGAGTCCATGTCACATCCCAACATTCCCGCCCCGGGCCAGAGCCCGGAATCTCCTTCATCATCCGCGTCAGTCGGAGATGGAGGTGGTAACCAACCCGCTAAACGTCAACGTCTCGACGAGGATGTACGGGTCAGCTCGCCTTGGCCCCCGACCGTTGTTCCCAAAGTTTCAGTCGAATCTGTACCAGAACCCCAATCGCTAACATCTGCTTCCCTCAAGGCCATGGAGACCGACAAGGATGCCCCCAAGAAGACCCGCAAGGTCAAGAAGCAGATCCGCAAGGGTGATCTGCCCATCTCGACTGGCACTGCTTCGCTCGACGAGGCTGCCAAGACTGCCCTGCTCGAGAAGGAGGCCGCCATGGTGATGGAGGACAAGCTTGTTGCCGACACCGAGGAGAAGAAGAACGAGCTCGAGGCCTACATCTACGACCTCCGTGCCAAGCTCGACGACCAGTACGCCGACTTCTCCAGCGAGGAGGAGAAGCAGACTATCAAGGCCAAGCTCGAGGCCACTGAGGTATGTTTTGGATTCCGATTCTGGATTCTGTGATGATCAAGACAATGATGCTGACTATGCCTTCAGGACTGGCTCTACGATGAGGGTGATGATACCACTAAGGGTGTCTACATCGCCAAGATCGACGAGATCCGTGCCATGGCTGGACCCATCGTCCAGCGCCACTTTGAGAAAGTCGAGGCGGAGCGACAAGCCGCTCTCGAGCGAGCCGAGGCCGAACGGGCTGCGAAGAAGGCTGAGGAGGATGCTCGCAAGGCTGAGGCTGAGAAGGACCAAGAGATGAAGGACGCTGATGCTCCGCAACAGGGTGGCGAGGCTGACCCCCAGTAAGTTGTGAGAGGAAGAAGATCATGACACAGCTGTACGGTATACCTCGGCTGTGGTCACGCACATGATATGAGATGAATGATGCCCGAAAAATATGTCAAAAGAGGCCACGAAGAAAGAATTGGAGGAAGAAATAGAGCATGTTAACGGTTGCAACGGCTTTTTATTGGGAGAGGGAAGAGGGAGGGATCATCATGACGGATATGTTACCCGCTGTTAGACCACTTTTGCCTTTTGTAGCTAGGATCCATACACTCAGGCTTGGTTCAAGTCTTGGAGCCTTTGGACTTTGCCCGTATCATTCTTTGAACAGTGCCATGTCGGTGAGAGAGACGAGGGAGGTGAGGTGGCGTGAGGTGAGGTGAAATAACGGTGAGTGGACGAGACAGGGGGGGCTAGTTCATCAAGTGTTGTGAAGTTGAGTGGTTAGACAAGAGAGGAGAGAAGAGAAGAGAAGAGGAGATGAGTAGAGTAGAGTAGAGTAGAGTTGAGTTTATAGAATAAAGTATTGATTACAAAACTGAGCCATACATGCATGAAGCCATCGACGGATGATGGATGATGGATGTTAGTTGCAACTCGCTTTTGGATATAACCCTCTATATAAAGACCTTTGGACCTTCGAGCGCCTCCGTCTGATGCGTCCTCAATCTTTTTTTTTTGGTTCCCCAAACAATGCAACCGGCATAACATAACATACATGAATGACGTGATTCCATTCTTCGTAAAACAGATGCAATTTCTTTTCTCCATCCCCTCTTCCCTTCCACATGCGCAGTAGCAATCTTCCTCTTCTTGATGGGAGCTTTGACCCGACGCCTGAGCTTTGTCTTGGGAGATTCAAAAGACAGCTTCTGCGAAAAGAGTCACTCGGGTCAAGCTCCCGGCGCCAATGGTGTTGGGTGGGAGGGCCTCGCGCCACCAAGTGTTGCAAGCTCTGCCCCGGTACTCGCCAGGCCAGCTTATGAAATGTCAAAGAGAGGCTTGAGCTTGATGATGAGCTGCCACTCCTCGTTGCTGACCTCCTTTCGGTAGAACTCCTTGAGGGTGTCGATGCTGGCTCGCGAGATGAGACTGTACAGGGTCTCCTCTTCCTCGAGGTGGCGGCCGTACATGGGCTGATTGCCGCCCATCTCGATCTTGACGGCAACAGAAGGCTCCTTTCTCTTGCACACGGGGATCTGCTTGTGCTCTCGCTCGATAGAGGTTCTGTGATTCGTTAGCAAACTGCTGTCTGTATCATGTGAAGTAACTTGAACTCACACTCTGCCCAGCTTGATGATCTCCTTGGCGCCTGTCGTGGGGTTGCTCCTCACGGCGGCGATGGGAGCGTTGATTCTCAGCTGACCTTCAGTAACATCCACACCAATGACGATGGGGTCATTCTTGTTGAAGACCTTGACGGGCTTGAGCACGCAGGGGAAGACGGCCAACATCTTGGACTCCTCCTTCTTCTTCTCCAGCTGCTCGTCCATGTGCTTTGTGAAGGCGTCGAACAGGTGGTAGATAATGTCAGCCGTAAAGATCTTGATGCCCTGGTCCTCGGCGTACTGTTGTGCTTCCTTGTCTACCTTGACGTCGAAACAGAGCATGATGGCGTAGTCAGGAGCCTTCTCCAACATGATACCACACTGCATGACATCACGCTTGTAGACGGGACCGATACCAACGTTGGCCACGGGAATCTTGCAGTCCTTGAGGAAGTCGAGCAAGGCCTCGAGCGAACCAAGAGTCGAAGCCTGGACACTGACACCACGACCCGACTTCTCGACTCGGTTGAACAGGACAGCGAGATCGGACTCGACCTCGTCCTCGATGTCGTCCTCATCATCATCAGGTCCGACAACCATCAAGCGAGAACCAGCGATGGCACCTTCAAGGCCAGGGGCACTGATCTTGACACCCAGAGCGGCCTTGACCTCCTTGTTGTGAACATAAGCAGACTTGAGACGCAGTTCCCTGAGAGGTGCCGGGGTGAGCAGAGCTCTGATGTTTGTCTTGATAGCACCTTCTGTACCGCAGAGTACAATGCGGTCGCCTTCACGCAGGATACCGTTGGAAAGGACGACATCGATGGTCATACCGAAACCCTCAATGGCCTTGACTTCAAGAACGGTGGCCTGGACCTCAGACAGGTACATGAGGGAGCCAACCATACGCTCCTGGGTGAGCTGGACAATGAGCTTCAGCATGTCGGGGACACCCTCACCCGTGTGCGCCGAAGTGGGCACGAGCGAGACGTACTTGGACATGGACTTGTTCTGGTAGAAGAGCTCAGAGTTGAAACCCTGCTCGGCAAAGGCAATCTTGGTCTTCTCCAGACGAGTCTCAAACTCGTTGCGGACGGCCTTGCTCTGAAGAGCCAGACTGTCCTGGAAGCCGTTGTTGTCAACCTTCTTCCAGCCGTAGAGTCGATCAATCTTGTTCAGGGCAACGATGAAGGGGGTCTTGCGCTCTCTCAGCATGCGCATAGACTCGAGGGTCTGAGGCTCGAGACCGTGCATGATGTCGACAACCAGAATGGCGATGTTACAGAGCGAAGAACCACGGGATCGGAGGTTAGAGAAAGACTCGTGACCAGGCGTATCGATGACCAGGAGACCGGGAACCTTGAACTCGAACTTGCCATCAGGATTGACGACGGCCGTCTTTTGTCGAATGGCCTCGACAGGGAAGTATGTAGCACCGATCTGCTGTGTGATACCACCGGCTTCGCCCTCCTGGACGTTGGTCTGTCGGACCTTGTCCAGAAGCTTCGTCTTTCCGGTATCGACGTGTCCCAGAATACAGCAAATAGGGGATCGCAGGTTGTCCTTGGATCGGGCAGCCAGAGCAGCTTGATGAGCCTTCTCACGGCGCTCAGCAGCCTCTCGCTTTCGCTGAAGCTCAGCTTGCTGGGTAGCTGTGGCGGCCTCATCGTCCTCAGACTCCTCCTCAGAGTCCTCGGCCTCTTCATCGTCCTTGGATCCAGAGTCGGCCTTTCCGTTGGCCTTCTCAGCTTCATCCTCGGTGTCAGCATCCCAGCTATCCTTGACATCGCCGTCGGAGGCGGCAGCGGCCTCCCAGTCGTCATCCACGTCGCTTTCAGCGGCAGCCTTCTCAGCCTTGGCCTTGGCCTCGGCTTCAGCCTTCTCACGGGCGGCCTTCTCTTCAGCCTCCTTCAGAGCCTTCTCGGCCTCCAGCCTGGCGCGCTCAGCAGCCTCAGCAAGGGCCTTCTCTTCGTCGGCCTGGTTACGGTCAGTACAACGCAGAGCGGTGAAGCTTCAGATGAGTCCATACCTTTTGTTGAGCTCGGCCCTTCTTCTTCCTGTCTGCCGGCTTGCTCTTGGGAGCCTTCTCTCCACCCTCCGAGGGACCAACCTGGATACCAGCGGCCAACATCTGCTGGAGCTTTCGCTCATTGCGGGCCTTCTCCTCCTTCTGAGCCTTGGTGAGGTACTTGCCCTCCTTCTTGAGCTGATCAATGCGCTCCTTCTCCTTCTGCTTCTTGAGGGCCTTGGCCTCCTCGCGGCGCTTCTCCTCCTCAGCTGCTGCTCGTTCATCCTCCTCGGCCCTAGCCTTAGCCTCGGCCTCGAGGCGGACAGCTTCTTCTCGCTGACGTTTGAGCTCCTCCTGTTGCTTCTGGAGCATAGCAAGGTGGGCAGGAAGCTTCTTCTTCTTGCCACCAGCGGGCTCGGCGGCCGGCGCAGGGGCGGCCTCCTCCTGCTTCTCGGGAGCAGCAGCCTTAGCAGGCTGGGGGGCCTTTGCAGCGGCACCTCCCTTCTTCTTGGCGGCGGCCTGTTGCGGATTGTTAGTAGGGGGACATCAACAAGTAGATGCAGCATCACGTACCTGTTCCTTCTTTCGCTGCTTCTCACGCTCCTTCTTCAGCTTCTCCTTCTCGGCCTTGGTCAAGATGCGACCAGACTCGGCACCATCGTCGTCGGCGGGCTCGGACTGCTTGGCAGGCTGCTTGTTCTGCTTGCCACCTTTACCCTTCTTTTGGGGCAGATCGAACTCGTCGTCCATGGTTGCCTCGACAGGCTCCTTGTTCGCAGGCTCCTCGGCCGGAGCCTCCTCCTCGACGGGAGGAGCTGTGTCGACGATGCCCTTCTTCTTACGCTTCTCCTTGTTCTTGCGCAGGGTGGCCATCAGGCCTCCGGCGCCACCATCGTCGTCGCCGTCGGCGTTGTCGTCACCAGCAGGAGCATCGTTGTCGGCGGCAGGCGGGGCAATGCTCTCGCCAAGCTCGGCCTCCCAGTCGTCCTGCTGGTTCTTCTTGTTTCCCTTCTTCTTGGGCGGCATCTCGGCGGTCTCTGTCGGCTGGTTCGAGAGATGCAGTCGTCGGAGGGGCTCGCGAATGGGCGAAGAAGGAGTTATGGATTTTTTTTCGGGGGCGAAGTAGCCAAAGAAACTTGCCTGCAGACGGACAAGGCAACGGCTCTATCACACAGACAGACAGACACAGCCAGGCACACACAACCTGAACCTCAGCGCCTTAGGTTTGGCTTCTGTATGGTCGGTTTCGCTGCTCGTTCGGCGGGTGGGAGTGGGTTGGGCTACGGGGTTTAGGCGGGGCAGCCCACTACTGTAGGTATCAAGTCCAACGGGAACAGGGCTTCTTGAACAGCTGCGGCGGTGGCGAATCCAGCGCAGGGTAACGTCGTCGGGCTCGTGCGAGTAGCTTATGCGACATGCTCCGTCTCCTCGGGTCTGCAAGGAGATGTGTCACAAGTCGAGTCGAGTCGAGTCTGAGCAGTCAGCCAAAAACTCTGGTGATGCTGTTCGCTAACATGAAAGTTCCAGCGGAGGTTGACGATGAATCAAATCACTTGACTTGCTCTGCGGGGCACTGATGAAACCCAGCAGAAGGAATATTTTGTGAATGTCATATTATGTAATCACCCGAACCTCCCACAACATCACCTCTGAAGCGCCTGACAACTCCATGATATAGCACCACTAAGAAGCAAGGGGTGGTTACTATCCTGCTTTGATTCGCAAGGATAAGCGACTGATATTGAGTGCCCTAGTAATGTTGATAGAACTCTTTTAATATACTGTGGTTCCCTAGGCATCCTGGCTCTTAACGCCCATATATTCATCCTTCAGATAACTGGCGCTAAAATGTGCTCCAAGATCTCGTAGCCCAGCTCGAGATACTTCTCATGCCCATCTTCCCCGTCAGCTCGGAACGCCTCTGTGTGTTGTCCTTCATCGATGCCATCTAGATACTCGCAAAACAAATCCAAGCCATCCCCCATGGAAACCAGCGTTTCCAAAGCACGTCGGTCAAAGCAGCGCTTCAGCACATTGCCGTCAATGTGCATGTTCTCCGGAGCCATCTGAGGCTCGAGATCCAAATCCAAATCCATGTCCTCATCCTCATCCTCCTTCTTTGAGCCATCGTTGCCGGGTTCAAATGGGCAGATGTCTTTGTCGTACTTTGCCAAGTTCTGAACAAGGCGCAAGAATCGCCACAGGTCGAGGCCTATCAGTGCAAAGTGCTGTAGCGAGCCATCGAGGGATACGCCCAACACCTCAGCCTGGTCAACCGTACTGAAGAGGGTGTTGTATTGCCGCTGGCGGTTCGAAGCCGCCCAATATGGGCGTGTGTGCCCGCGCTTGAATTTCCTTATCGACGTGGACAACTTTCCAGAGACGACAACCTCGAATTCCCTGTTACGTTGGCCCCGAGGAACCCAAACTCCAGCAAAGCTTCCCTGGCTGGTCGAGATGAGATTTATTGGCCACTCCCCAAGCTGATCCTCGGAATCCCCCATCTCAACCATATGAGACGTGTACCGCACTACCTGATCAGAATGGATGAGGGAGGCCTCCGCGTGCTCGGATTCAACGTGGAGGTCGATGACCAACATGGAATGCATCGCTGTCAAGGCAAACACTTTGCTCCCCTCCACATGTAGTGACGTGGCAGGAGAGTCTAGTCTGAACTCCTTCATCGGCTTCAGCCTCTTTTCAGCGAGGTCAAGAACCTCCCAGTGCAAGGTATCACCGACGCAAAACAGGAGGCCCACAGCGTCTCCCACAACCGAGAAGACGGGTGCCGAAAAGCCTTTCTTCTTGTACCGGGTCCAATACTGCAGCTCCCTTGATGGCCCATTCTCCGTCTCAATCTTCTGTTCTTTCACAGACACAATCATCAAGCGGCCTTGTTGCGTGGTCACGATGAGGAACGGGAAGGTCTTGCCATCCTTGACATAAAGCCATTCGTTCAAGCCGAAGATCCTGTCTCCTGCATGGCCTAGCCCAGAGATGTGCTGAGATGGTTTCTTGTTCTTGTCGGAAGCACTCGAAATCGTGGCCCCTGAGTCAGGGTCGATGAAGGAAAGGGTCGAGCGATCTTCCTCGTCAAAATGCGCCACCACCAAGCACTTCCAGGTCTGGGAGTAGATGACTCGCACTGGTGTCCCGGCAAGGGGAATGCTGCGGGGAACGGGGCCGACGTGAGGCCAGATATCCACGAGAAGGATCCTTGTTCCAGCCAGCAACATCAAAGACATGTGTTGGGGATAGTTGGAAAGACTGTCCGTGAGGCAATACACTGCGTGAACGGGCGGTGCTGGCAAGGATGGATCACTGGAATCGGTCGGCCAGATAAGGTTCTTGGTCTTGAACTTGGTCTCTTGCTCCGAAAAGTCCGTCATCACCCATAGGCTGTTGTCACAGCAGACGAAGAAGGCAGGGCCTCCGGCAAAGGGACCTGAAGCAGGAGACACCTTTGTAGGTGCCAGGCCAAGCTGTTCAACAGTCATCGAAACATCTTCAATCTCATCGTTTGAGATTCGAACTGTGACCAGGTGGCCGCTCCTGGTTCCGAATCCGAGGATGGTCTTGTTTGGACCATCATTGACTGCCGAGATGCTTGTGAATGCCTCCATCCGGAATTGGAGCTGCTGAGTATCATATTCTAAGAACCAATTAGTTTCCGTAGGCAAAATTGCAATCCAACACGGGGGCCCTACCGCAATGTGACTCCATGCTGTGGCTTCTAGTCTCTTGGCCATCTAGAGTATAATTGAAGATCCACGGTGTACCGTCGATGACGGAGCCTACCACGATGTACGTATCACCTGAGAGAGTGAACAGAGAAAGACATGTAACCTCCCCAGCTGTGTCTACCGAGGCAGCTTTTGTCACATTCATCTGGTCGATCCGTAGGACATCTAGACGTGATGCTTGCCCGTAATGGGAAGAGATGACGACGATGTCGTTCTCGCAACATGCGTTATCTGCAATCAGAGAATCGAGTCCGCAAACATCGCCGTGTGTATGCCGGGAGCTGAGGTTGGTTAGCCATCCCTTGGAGATCTCATATGTAGGTTAAAGAGTGCGGGAAATAAAGCAAGTACTTGCCTTTGTGAGGAGGCAACCAGGCTGGTAGATGTCTCTGTGACCTGCACAATTGTTCCTTGGTCGTTTTGGCAAACTGATATCGTTCGCGAGTTGGTATCAAAGGGCGAGACCTCCGAGGGCAAAGCACTGGCATTGCTGAGATTAGCAGGAAAGTGAAGCACATCAGAAGAATGTGGCATTGAGAGGATGGCATAAAAGCCTCGCTCTCCCTGACTCTCCACGGGAAACATCCATGACTGGCGGACAACCTGGTCGTAGTCAAATTCCAGTCCAATTCTGGCTTGAATGCCCCACCTCAGCTCCGTTAAGCTGGACCGGGGGCCACGGCCTGAGGTACAGAAAATTCGATCCGGCTTTCGAGAAAGAATCGATGACAGTTTAGATCGCCCCGAACGATCCTGGCGTACCACCCCGTCTGTCCAAGAAGAATTTCCATCTGTCGTAGTCATATCGACGACGGGAGACCAGTTGGGGATCGTGCTCACTTGCTGAGGGTCACTCCGAGCGGCAAGCTGTTGTACAAAGTCAGTCGCCTGCGAATTCAGGGGAGTCCTATTAGGTGGGTTTACCTTCCAGATGCCCCCTGGGCCTGATTCGCCACCAATGATGAACACGTCCGAGAAGACATCATAGGCCGTAGTAAAGGCGGTAGAGATATTAGTGCTGATGGTCCCAACGGTGGTCACTGACGGAAGGAGGTCTGCTGAGTCGAGCTCGATATGGGCAATGACGCCGTCTTCGCGTGCCAGATAGATGATGTCCGTCTTTTCAAAGTACTTGTTGAGGCGAAAGGGTCTTGCCCAGGCAGTCCAAAGGGGGCCGGAAGCTCCATGATGCAGGTTGGTCTGGCTAGGAGAGTGCGTTTCCAGAGTGTCAAACGAGGTCGTCCCTGTAAATGCGTTCTTGATAATCCCGATAGCGTTTTCGGAGACAGCGATGAAAGCAGTATTGATTCTCAAAGGTATGATCATTAGCGGCATCCGATGTTCCTTTGGTAGTGGCGTTCCCGCCTTCTCTGTTCTGAGAACGGACTCAACATCATCGTGGAGCTCCCAATCATACACTATCATTCGGGAAGTGTGTGAGCCCCGGGCCACCTCACGCCGGACAACGATGATAAGGAGGATGACGTGGTAGTCATCCTCAGGCCGCGGATACAGAAACTCCAGTTTGTGAATGATTCCATCGGTAATTCGGACCTTGATGTTTTTGACGGGTTGATAATATCCTTGGAGCTGGTACTGAGTGCTCATGTTTGGTAACGTTTCCAGCCCGTATATGACGAATGCGCCCTCGGCAGAACCAGCAGCTATGTAGCGCGAAGATGGGTTGCTAATGAAATGGTATCCTAGGAACTTGAGGTTCCTAGGGCTCTCATACTTGGTGGCGACGAATTCGAGAGTATGATCCGGGAGCTCTCGAACGAAGAGAAATACCATATCACTAGATTCGAGCATCAATACGAGAAGTTGGGGAGGAAGCGGCTGACGGGCATTTGCTTCATGTGGCTTCGAGGCGTCCTGCATGAGAACATCGGCGTCTTCGGTCTTGATAACGCTGGAAGCCGTACCATCGGGGCCGCCCTCAGGGGGCGTTCCGAGAACAAGGGCATTTCGGATTCTGGAGCCAAAGTCGGCTTTTCTTATGACCTCATGGACTTGTCCATCGTCGCGAAGCTCGCTGATTTGAACAAAATGATCCTGTTTCCATTAGTAACAGTCCATCGGGGCAAGTGTAGACAGTAGAAAGGGCGGGACATCTCAACACTGGTGTTCAACTTTCAACCACGAAGGCCACTCCAAACAGTGAGCACACATAATCCCTCTAGATGAAAGCGAGATTGAACTTCTAGGTTTGACAGCAAAAGCACCAGCCCCAGAGCTCAGAGCATTTAAAGTTGTCGCAAGATTCGCACAAGGAAACAAGACTTACGCCGATAAAAGCAACATCATTATGAGAACGGGATCGTATCCAGACGGGAAGAACCCAGTGGACAACGGGGCTCTCGATTAGCGTTCTAGTTAGAACACCACAAACAGGAGGTTCGGCACGGGGCTTGGGGTTGGTCTTGGGCGTGGTGGAGGCTTTCAGGGCATCTTGGAAGTTGACCGTCTCTGTCACCCACTCGCCATCTCTGAGAACACTGCTCTGGAAAGCCATGCTGGCCGCTTCATGGCATCAAAGGGCTGAGAAACTGAAGAAAGGGCGGTGGCCAGAGGAGCGAGATGAGGAGCGTCGGTGATGGGTAGAGAGTCCGAAGGCGGAGAGAAGATTGCTGGCAGAGGAGCAGGCCACGCGGGGCATGCGAGTCGCCCCCAACACTGTGTTAATGGGTGGGAGCAACGAGCATCTAAGTAACGACGGCTTGGACGAGACGAGGTGAATGTTGGTCTCTGGCGGCTCGTCCACCCGGCGCTTGCCTGGCCTAGTTCGGGCTGGTGTGGTCCTCTAGAGGGATAAGGTGAGGCGGCACTGGTCTAAGCACGCCAACAACACTTGATGGCCTCGACGAAACTCGAATAAGCTGGGTGCCTTGACCAAGCAAGAGGGGCGGAGGGGCGTGAGTTGCTCCCGGACAGAGCTCGGAGGATCTGGACAGCCGCAGACAGGGTATGGACAGGCCCAAGGCAACCTGCAGGACAACTGGTTCACAGCTGGTACCTGGGATCCAGCGACTGGGAACAAGTCGAAGTTAGAACCAGCTGAGAGCAAGGTCGACGTGTCGATCAAGGACAATGCGTGGTGCTGGCCTGGGCTGATGTAGAGAGGCCGAAGAATCTCAGACCAGACCCAATGTTTCCCTGGAAGAAGGTTTTTGGCAAGTAGAAGAAAGGGGTGTGCCGAGTAAAAGAGCCCAGTCGATGTTGTTGCTGTTCTGTTCGGCTCCAGATGCCTCTGAAAGGCCAACAGGGCTCGCTTTTAAAGGTTGATCGGCCTGTGCCAGCTGAGTGCGGTCGCTCCAGTCGCTGTGGCTGTCGTTGGATAAAACACCCGCCAAGGCAGGCAAAGAATCAACCAGGTGACGACGCTCTCGGTATGGATGATGCTGCCACAAGAAACGAAAACTTGATGAAAGGATTGCAGTTTGTCTGAGGCCTGATACTGCTGAGAGAGGTTGTGGATGGGCGGGAAGTGTGAGATTTAGAGGCACCTCAGATTCTAGCGCCCGACAGCACCCGCCGTGCCACGGGTTAGGAAGGTACCGAGTGCAGCGCACCCTCGGTGACAATAACGAGTGGGCAGGCCAGGCAGTTTGAGGAGCGTGCTGAAAGGCGGGCAGGCTGGGCTGGATGCAAGTTCCCTTGGAGGCTTGGTGCTTCGGTCCTCTAGATGCCCCCCAACCCATGGACGGATGGATCCATTGCACTCAAATTGACAATGAAACATTGGTGTACCTGCGACGTGGCGCCGAGGTACCTGTAGTGCACCAAGGGCGGTGGAGAGCTGCCTCCACTGAGGCTTGCACCAGCTTGCACCAGCTTGCACCACCAAGATTGCAGATTGCACACCCACAAGGCCCAACCCCCAACCGCGAGATGGATCCTCAACCATCACCTAGCAAACACACCAAACATCCATGGATCTTGCCACAGAGACCGCTGCGGCTGAAGAATCCTCTCCTTCTCACCTTCCAAATTCAACCCTAGATCCCTGCCAGCTCTCCCGTTCCCCGTAGATACCGTGACGATCCGATACCCGAGCTCACAGGGCAGGAGAAACATTTAGCCTCGGAAGATTTCGACTGGACTGCCGGACCATCCAAACTCCAACTTCTCGGTGTCCGGAACAAGACGCAGTGCGCCTTGCGGATGACCTTATGGAACGTGTCATGACTCTGTAAGCAGTTAGCCAGCCGATAGTCTGCTCCTGCAAAGTGATCGAAGTGCACATCGCAGCCTGCTTTCGAAACCCCCGAATGGTTGTCCAAGAACCAGGACCTTGGTAGCTGGGGGATGCGCTCCTTGGGCGGATTGAGCCCCCGGTCACTCGCGCATCTGTGAGCATCGTTCGCAACCCCTGCTGTCGTGGAGGTGGTCGGATCCTACAATCCCTTCATGCAGCATGCCTTCACGCACGTCTCACCCTGTGTCAGTCAGTAGCAAGGTCTGCTTGGCCTTGGTCCAACCTGGAACCGTTTGTGCTTCAACGGGTAGTTGGTGTCCTGAGAAACGTTGCTCACGTTGGACCGGTATCTTACACCGCACTCCCACGGATAGAGGATACAACTATTCTTAGCAACCTATTTAACTAACTATGGATATAAACAGACAATCAAAGCCCGTATCTGCCGAGATCGGAATACCGGGTCTGCCACCCGACCCCAGAGAGGCTGTGAAATGTCCTTGCCGTCATTGACCGGTCTCTCCAGGCCAACCAACGCATTTGCTTCTTGTCACTCTCCCGCAGAGCATGCATGTCCTGCTGTCACAACGACTTGCCTTGCCAAGGTTGTGGCTTCTCTCGTGATGACGTCTGTCGGCTCTTGTCACGGCTTTTGTGCTTTTTCCTCTGGTCTCGGTTGTCTTTGGCGTCGCAGGAGGCACGCTCCGTGAGTCGTGAGACTCGTTGGTTGCCTCACTCTGGTGTTATGAGCTAAACCCGCGAGCAAGTCACCATCACATCTTTACTGTGGCATTTCCTACCTTTGTCTGTATCAGGATATCTAAATGAAACATAAAACAATAGCACTGTCATAGTTGGCAATGGTTTATCCTATAGGTATCGGCGCCGGGCGTGTGGAAGCCGGTCTAGTTCGGTGGGAACAGCAGAAGCGCGGCTATCTGCTGTGCATCCTCGCGAGACCTGGTGGCTGCATTTCAAGAACCAAAAGGCCTTGAAAACCTGGAGGAAGGTGAGAAAGAAGACCAATGTGGCCAGGGCATGCCAGCCAGCTTGGTGCAACCCACAACACCCCCATCCTGTCGTTGCAACAGGGTCGGGGCCAGATGACCACGGTCCAGATCGAAACTGTAGCCCAGTTGGTGGAGTCGAGCATCACAAGGGTTCAATAGTCACTTCGCCAGTCTTCTAGATCCATTGTCCGTCATCAACTATCTCGCCAGGAACGGAAAGCTAGCCGAATGACTCGTATCCGAGACCATGATTGAAGATTCCAACAAGAGGCACGAGTCAAGGGCGCTACGCTCTCCTCCCGGCTTTGCCTTTGTCGATGATGTGCTATGAAAAGAAACAGAATGGAGGTCGCCTGTGTAACGCGAGCTGTCAACTCTGCCAAGCCAAGCTAGGAGAGTTTTTGCTCGTCCCGACTTGACACCTGACAGGTCATGAGAAACTATTCGACGACGTTCTCTGTAATGCGAAGACTACCTTAGCTCAAAGGGGACGAGTGTCGTTACGACGGCTGAGCAACCTGTAAGGCGGCAAGACAATGTGGGAGAGGTCTGTGGGGGCGGATGGACGGACGCTTGGGCATTGACCGCTGGCGATCTGCGACCCATGATGTTTCCGGTTTGCAGGTCTCTTCTGATTCGCTGGGTCCGACAACTCTAGAACCGGGGAACATGAAGCACATATCAGTCATTCTTCAGAGTGCCTTTGTTGTCTCAGAAGGTCACGGGCCGAAACCCATCGGGCGAGGATGTTAACGTCGCAACTTTGAAGACGGTGACAAGATTGGATCGGCAGAAAAAGAGCTTCTATAATGCATACAGAGAGTCTGGAAAGCCACAAGGCAAAGAAAGGCAACAGGGCATGTCTCAGCCCAATCACCTAGGCCGTGTAATTGTCCAAATGGGTGGTTAGCCCTTCCATATTACTTTTCAAATCCCCCGTCACCCCCATGCTGTGATCAGCCCGAAATGCATTGATTGACGGATATCCGTGACGCATTTTAAAATGAGGGAGGAGTTGTGGCTGAAGCAGGTGGGAGGCCACCCATTATCAGCAGGAGCATCGACGATAGGCTTGATCATGTCTCTGAGTACGTAATGAACATGAGATTTAGAGTTGAAGCAATTGATGAATCCATCTGATATGATATGAACAAATGAAACCACAAATCGTGGTCGAGGCAGAGAAAGTCGACGTGGGAGTTGGGCAGGTACGTACCTTACCGCTAGCTTGCATCAGCTGGGCAGGGATCAACCTTCCAACGCAGCCACTAAGAGAAGCTTCTGCAACACTCTCGTGCTTCACTCACACAGCAAGTGACACGAATCACTCTCTGTCTGGCCCCTTGCGACGACGCCCAAGCTCATCAACAGCATAACCCAGATTCGTCACATTTCATTTCGTTTTGGGGAAACAGGAGAAAAAACTCTGAAGCAGGGGGGTCTAAACAAACTACCTATATCGGATCTGAGCCAGGCCAGACCAGACCATTCTGTCTCTCGGCCATGGTGTGAATTGGCTTCCAGTCCATTCATTTTTGCATCCGGCCGATATCCCCCTCCCCCATCCGTCCACATCCACCTTTTGTTTTTCCTGACACACCATTTGCCCGCTCATGTTCTGATGGACCCAGCCATGGACAATCCCCGTCGAGGAGATCCCCCAGCGCAATCGCAATCGCCGTCTCCCTCGGTCAGCGGCCGCCAGACTCCGGCCGCCATCAGTCGCACCAGCAGCAGCAGCCTCAACTCCAGGTCAAGGTCGGCATCATATGCCGGCTCCAACCACGACCGCAGCCAAGACGATGCCTTGTCGGATCCCAAAGCTGCCGAGATTCTCGACGCCTGCAGATGGAAAGACATTGGCCGTCTGCGATCCCTAGCTGAAGCCAGAGGTGGATTCCTATCGGATGTCTTGCGTAGGCAAGCCTGTATGTCTGTCTTATTTCCGGCTCCAGCCACTGCCTACTTAGTATCCGTACTCCATACTTACACGACGTCTACTAGGGCCCATCTTGCTCGGTCTCGATGCCCCTTCTAGTTGCCAAGAGGATCTAGCCTCGTCACAAGATGCCTCTGCAGACTGGAAAGAATTGCCTCGTCATCGCGATGAGGATCAGGTTCAACTTGACGTCAACCGTTCTTTCATTTATTACCCAAACAGTATGTATCCACCTCTTGTTTCTCCAAGCATCACAATGAAAATGGGACCATGAGACTAATGCGGCGATAGATGTGTCTGATGCAGAGTTGAGTCTGCACAAGTCAGAGCTATCCTCCCTCATCACCGAGGTTCTCCGTCGGTATCCTTACTTGTGCTATTTCCAAGGCTATCACGATATCTCCCAGGTCTTGTTGCTGGTGCTGGCACCGCCATGGAGGGCTCGTGTGCTTGCCCGCCTCTCCGTCCTGAGGATACGTGACTTCATGCTGCCGAATCTAGGCCCAACAACCGCTCAACTCCGCCTTCTTCCCGACATCCTTCACGCTGCCGATCCAAAACTGCGACGACACCTCTCGGGGGTCGAGCCTTTCTATGCCCTAGCAGGCACTCTGACCATGTATGCCCACAATATTGAGGGTTATCGAGATATTGTCCGTCTGTTTGATGTTTTCCTAGCTCGGGAACCCGTCTTCAGCGTATACGTATTTGCTCAAATCATCTTGGACCGCCGGCGAGAGATCTTCGAGATCGACGAGCCGGACATGCTACACGTCATCCTTGGCAAGGTTCCGTCCAAGATGGACCTGGACGAGCTTGTGGTCAAGTCGGCACAGCTCTTTGAACGTCATCCCCCGGAAACACTCCGGTACTGGAAGCAGATATCAGATTCCAGTGCTCTCAAGACGGCCCGCGATGTCGAGGCCTGTGCGAGGCAGACTATGGAAGACGGTGAGGAGCTCTTTGAGGAGCAGCTCCGGGAGCTCCAATGGGCGGAAATGCAAGACCGTGTCAAGTCGGCACTGTGGTCTTACCGGCGCCCAGCAAAAGCTATCGGTATGGCTCTCATGGTGGGTGCTTTGGCTATTTACCTTCGCCGCAACCCCGCCATTATGCATCAAACCGCGGCCTTCTTCTCTCGATAAACGGACGAGCTTTGTCTCATTGACCGTATAACTTCTACTTTACTTCTTCTTCTTCCTCTAGGGATTGGTTAGGGTTGGGGTACAATGTGGCATAGAATCTGGGCAAAACTGGTGTGTGAGTGTGTGTGTGTTCATTCAGGACGGTCATAGACTTTTATAAATAAAAAAAAGGGGCAAGCTCCGTCTAGCACGAGACCCGTCATCTTCACCGAGACGCCATACAAATATCTTCCCATGATTACGCTCAAATCAGCACTGGGACTTGCAAATCCTCATGCTCCTGTTAACCCGTCTTTTCCCACTCCAGATATCGCAAAGGCCCTCTAGGATGCCTCCTGGAATTGAGCCTTGAGCTCCTCAAAGTGCTCCTGCTGTTCCTCGGCCAGCGTTCCGCTTTCGTCGCTAATAATGGTGAGGATGAGAGAATAGTTGTTGTAGAGGAAGCGCCCACTCTTGCGCTTGTCGCCGTATGACTCGGCCTGCCGACTGAGGAAAGTCTCCACCTCGGAACGCAGACGACGCAGACTGGCAACGACCGGCCCATCATCACCGGCATCAGCGCTGAGGGCCAAGAAGCCATGGAGCAACTGGCCGAAGCGCTGCGTCACGACGTGGGGCGCGGCGGACAGCTTTGCCTGGTCTGCGCGGTTTGGCTTTGAGGGCACAGCGTTGGTCAGGTGGCGGACCGAGTCGCAGTGACGATCCATGATGACCTGAAGACGAGGCCATAGGAGCATGGTGGTGGCGTTGATGTAGCCGTCAACAGCGGGGACCTTGCGGCGCTGGAGCTCAAAGGCAAAGTGCTGGTTGAGGCGGATGCAAAGGAGTAGGCCGAGGGCGTCGTAGGATTCTCCGACGAGAGACCTAGAGAGGGTCTTACCGAGCTCAAAGGTGGGTTCAAAAACATAGTTGAAGTTCTTTGAGATCTGGCCGAAAGACAAGGCGGGTGAGAAAAAGGTGGCCATGAAGGTGTATTCGGCAGTGGCATTGTCGATAAGAGCGAGGTTAAAGTTGCGGAAGGGGACCTCGAGGTAGTGCGTCGACTGATCCTCCTCGGCGAGGTACGAGGACAAGGCGGCTTGACTGTTGGTCTTGAGGAGGTCGATGCGACGGCCAAGGTTGAAGGCGTCATGGGGTGGACCTGGAGCCCGGGAGCTCGAGAGGACGGTGGCTTTGCGAGTTATGTCCTCATGGCCGAGTGTGTCGTTCTTATCCAGGATGTGTAGTTTTATCTTGCCGAGGGCCTTTTCATACCGGGTGAACTGGTTGAGGTAGTACCAGCGCATGGTGTTCATGTACGCCAAGGCGATCTCATTGGCAAGGGTAGGATGGTGCTTGTGAAGAAAGGTGAACAGGTCCTTGAAACGGAGAAAGTTCTGTTGTTGGATGATCTGCGCATTGATGTGAGGCGATCGCAGAGCCTTGATCTGGGCGACGATAAAGTCGCGAATGCGCTCAATGGCCTAGTTGGGTCAGCAGGGATACTGCGAGCATTGGGTCGCATTCGCACCTTGAGTGTGAGTTTTTCCAAGATCGGTTCAAGATCCTTGGCCGCCTTACTTGGCCTCGTCTCAGACTTCTTCTTGAAGGAAACAGTTTTCCGATCCAGCTCTGCGAGCATCTTGGCCCATGTCTCGTCGATGTGCCCCTCGGAGATCTTTGAGATGACCTCCGGAGACAGGCTCAACTCCTCGACCAGGGGTCCCAGAGCCTTTTCAACCTGTTTCCGATTCTCTAGTCTCCTACTCAAAGCTGTCGATCGGGTTTGCAGAGACTCGATGTCGGCGGATACTGTAGCAAGATCATTGCGGAAACTCGCCAGGTTGATCTCGACCGAGTTGAGGACGTCGTCACATGCTTCTATTGACCGATGAAGATCCTCAAGCTTGGATCGTTCATTCTCGCCTGGGGAACAATCTTAGTCCATGTTTTCTCCGTCGCAGAGCTACAACATACTCTCTTCTGCGGTTTGCGGCCTGCGCGTGTTGAAGGTGGCCGGCTCAGGGGCTTGCGACGCAGCTAGCTCCTTTAACGATAGGCCACCAAAGTCGGCTTCGAAGTCGATATCATCCTGGCTTATGATCTTTTGCTTTATCGTTGAATCGCTGTCTGTCGAGAATCCGGCCAACAATGTCTCTAATACTTCAAGAGAGTCTGGTCCCGTCTCGATGGTGGAGGTTTGCCGGAGGTTGGAGCCGTTCGGTCTTCGCGACGAGGATAGGAGGGATGAGGAAGAATCATTGGAGACGAGGGACAACGATGAGCCACGGGGAGAGACACCGCCACGTTGGGATGTGACATATGGGCTCAAGGAACTCGAAGTCCTCCGGGGCAGCGGCGAATATGCTCTGTTTCCGGGCTGGGGAGTGGAGGGTCCGGGGTTGCTGGCCGGCCCTCCGGCCAGTCGGTCGAGCCACATGGCGACGGAGGAACGGCGGCGATGAGGACGGGCAGAAGAGGAGAGGTTTATTCGACGAAACTAAGGACTCGATTCAGGACCAAGGCATTGTTCAACGGTATCGATAGGGCTGTCGACGAGTGCAAGGGTGAGATGAGTACGCAAGGCTGTGCTGGGCGCAAAAGGGTCAGCAGCTTGTCGCCAGCTTGCAAGCGAGGCTGTCAACGGCCAGCTTAAAGGACATGTGATTGGACAGAGCGTAGGGAGTTGTTGAGCCACATCCCCCAGCTTGCCTCGTGTGGCTTGAGCTCCATGGGTCAGGTCAGTCGGACAGGTTCTCGGCCTTCCGAGACCCGCCACAGAAAGGCGCCACAAGCGCCACAGGCCCAAGTGGGGTTTCCCTAAGCGCACGCACAAAGAACTGACACCCGAGATGCAGCATAAAAAGATGGGGACGCCACGAGAAAGCTTCATCTGCTTCGCGGACGCTGCGGATGATGAATGATGCTGCAGCTTGTCTTGCAGGCGGGACCCTCATCCATGGCAATACTACATGTACGTGCGTGGTAGTATGTACATACATCCGTTGTCGCGGCAATGGGATGGGTTTTTTCGGAAGGCAAGCTGCAAGTCGCGGCGCATTTTCAAGGATGATTCTGAGTGTGACCCCGCGCCATGAGAGCATCCATCGGGCATCGATGAGACAAGACAGGTTTTGTGCGAAGGGAGAGGGAGGGGGAGCGAGGATGACAGGAGGCAAATGCTCCCCGCGTGAGCACCTGCTGCAGTTGCATGAGGTTTAGTAAATGGACACCCCCTGCGGACCTTGACGCCTTGATGACCGCCGCCGCTGTCGTTGTGCGTTGTGTGTTTGAGTGCTTGGTTTGTTTGGACAGGACTGGCAAAAGCAAGGAAAGCATCCATCCATTCGAGTGTGGACTCTCGTGACCCCTTGTGGTTTAACCAAGCAAGCAAGGCACGGCAGATGCATCCGGAGCTGAAGGAAAGGTTGGCCGCCAAAGGTATTGCATTGGATTGCTGCTATTTTCAATCCGAATTCGAATCTCCTTGCCCGTGGGTTTGTTTTTTCTTTCAGGTCTACCTAACGTTGGAATTACTCTGTACAGAATAACCCCGCCGTGTGACTGGCTCCGGCAATGTTTACCTTTCAGTTCAACCCCGCCGCCGGAAGCTGGTCTGACCGGCGACATCAAGAACCAAGTACAAGCTCGACCGGGCTGACTGTCCGGGCGGCAAATTAACGCTCGCTCAGGCGGCTTCCGCTCCACCCCGCGGACGCCGCCAATGGTTCCAGCGGATAGATGCCCTGGAAACAGGGACCCCTCTTCTCCCAGCCCTCCAGGCTCCCTGGGCTGGCTGCTTGGAGGGGCAAAGCGGGCTGTGAGTGACCAGGCTGGCTGCGTGAGAGCTCCATCGAGGCTCCAGACCCCTCCCCGCCCTCACCTGTAGAAGCAGACACACGGGCAAAAGACTCAGCGGCCAAAGAGCACAGGAGACGTTGATCCAGTCCAGTCCTAATTAATTTTGGCATCCCATCGGTAGAGTCCGTCCGTCCATCCATCCACAGCCTACAAAAAGCGTGTCCACTGCCGCGCCCATTGACGCCCAATCACAGCGCCGAGAAAAAAATTCCGTCGAGGGCCTCGCACCTTTTCTTGCCCCCTCCATCTCTCTTCTCCCCGAGTTTGGCCCTTTCCTCTTTCTTCTTCTCTCCATCCCACTCTCAACTTTTTTCGAGCCATCCAATCCCTTCCTCCTCTCCCTCACTCCTTTCTCTTCTTCAAGACCTCGGTTTCTTGTCAAATACCTTCACAATGGCTGACGATGTGAGTTCTATTCCGCCTCCTGCGCTTTCCTAGGTCCAGGCGCACGCGCCCACGAATTTCTGCCCTTGCGCCCATTTTTCGCCTGGCGATGTCCACCCCGCATTGTGACTCGTGCCCCACGATACAATACTGCTCTCGACGGTGCTCTTCACCAGCCATCAGCGGGCCATCGCCGACGAGCGCTATTCCATCTCAGCCATCATTGTCATCTTGGATCAAGAATTTTGCTAATTGCCGTGTTTTCCTGCTCCGCAGCACCATGATGTTACCTTCGAGTCGGCCGACGCCGGTGCCTCGCTCACCTACCCCATGCAGTGCTCTGCTCTGCGAAAGAACGGGTTTGTCGTGATCAAGAACCGCCCTTGCAAGATTGTCGACATGTCCACCTCCAAGACCGGCAAGCACGGTCACGCCAAGGTCCATCTCGTCGCTCTCGACATCTTCACCGGCAAGAAGTACGAGGATCTTTGCCCTTCCACCCACAACATGGACGTTCCCAACGTCACCCGCCGCGAGTTCCAGCTGGTGCGTGAACCCTTGCCCCGCTCGCTCCCAACAGGGGAGGAGGGGGAACAACAACCCCTCTCTCCCCCTCCAAGGGCGAGCTCTGACCCCGGCCATTTCCGAAAGCTAACCAAGATGCGCAACAGCTCGACATCTCCGACGATGGCTTCCTTTCCCTCATGAACGATGATGGTGACACCAAGGACGACGTCAAGATGCCCGACGGTGAGATTGGCGACAAGATCAACAAGCTCTTCAAGATTGATGAGAAGGACACCAGTGAGTAGCCCACAATTCTCGTGTCCGAATATCTCCTAACCCCCGTTCTCAGACGTCGTCATCCTTACCTCCATGGGTGAGGAGGCCGCCGTTGAGGCCAAGGAGGCTCCCGGCCAGAACTAAATCGCCTAACCTTTAATCCGCACCCGACTTGAAGTGGTCCCTGGCCCCTCGGAACGCCATCGAAAGATGACATAGACTGGGGGATCCCTTTTTTTGATGAAATCTTGGCGCATCAATATCCATGGGCCATGGGTTGGGCGTTGCGCAGAAGGATTCTACCTGGACAGGATTGTCTGCTGGTTATGATAAACGGCAATCCTTAACACCCGAGCCTTTTGGCTCAAAACTATTTCCCTTTGTTCCTAGCTCACAAGCTGCACATGCCATCATGTCACGAATTCGTAGCGGCAACTTTATGAGAGAAAAAAAAAATGGGAGAGCTTTGGAGTTGACAAACATCTGTCCGATAGAAGGCTATTAAAACCTTTGGCAGGATTGCTTCTTGAAGATTTATGTGAAGTGATTATGTGAATTTTGTGTGATGACTTGGAAATTGAGAGGATGTGAGCTCGGTGTAGTTAGGACCGCCACTTGATCCACACAATTGACCCTTGTCAGCTCTGAGAGCATGTCAGTCAAGGCAGAAAAGATCAGATTGATAAGTTGATATTGATTTGGGAAGATTCAAGTGAGTGTCGATCTTAAAAGATTGCCTCTAAGGAAGGCCTATTTCGTCTTTGTCGTAAAAGGTAGCTTGTGGCAAGCGAGAATTCGGAGCTTGATAACTTTTTCTCAAGACAAGCAAATTTCACAGTGAAACACGCCCTCGTACCTCAACATTTCACCGCTTCAATCCACATTATCGCCATGCTAAACTCATAACAAGCCATGGATGAGCGGCGAGACCTTCGCAAATTCCCCCGAGGGGAGAGATGCCCAGAATGTGGTGCTCGGAAATGGTACTTGGAGAACGGTCTACGGTTCTGCTCCAATGGACACCAGGTTGAGGTACGGCGCCAGTGTCGAGTCTCGTGAGAAGCATGCATACTGACGCTGAGAACAGGGCTTTGTCCAGTTTGACATGGGCGATGAGCAAGACGCTGGCAAGATGGGAAGCGTCGCCAGGCGCGAGAAGGAGACCAAGGAAAAGGAGCTACGACATCTCACAGGCCAGGCGGGAAAGAATCTCTTTCTCGAATCCTTACAGCTAATCCTGAGGAACCAACTGCTATGGCTCATAAAAGAGAAGGGGCATCGCGAGGAGCTCGAGACTGTGGTACGCGACCTATGGGATCTTCGCACCCGCGGTTCCGGCTCGCTCGTCATCGACGACGCCCCAACAGCCGATCTGGAGATGTTCAGTTCGCAGCCAACAGGCGATGAGAAGAATGCTACGTCGACTAAGTCAGCTTCGAGAGCTCAGAGCTGGGACCCGGAGAGGGGGCCAGATTGGCCTATGCCCAGGATGCTCGACACGCTTGCTCTATGTTACTTGGGATGCTTACTCCTAAGAATACCAACAGGGATCGGAGAGTTATGTCTATGGGTCAACAATGGCCATATGCCTTACAAGAGAGCAGTGAGTGACGAGGTTTGCGATACTTGGATCAAGTGTTGACTAACCTCTCAGTATTATGATCTACAACAAGAGATGCAAGACCGACTGCCTTCTGCTTATACAAGAGCACTCAAGCTGCCCCTTCGCTCATCTCTACAGGGCTCAGACCTTCACAACGCCGTGATGGACTTGGCGCTTTCTTATCATCACAACTACGGAATCACCTTTCCAGACGTAAACGAGACACCAACTCTTGTCCATTACGTGAGGCAATTGGCTTTACCAGGTTTATTCTCTATGCTTTAGTAGCCGCTTTCTTACTAACTATGTCTAGTTGAGACACTCATCACAGCCAGAAGTTTACTATCAGTAATGGAGTGTTCCTTTCAACTCCCCCTTGAGAAACCTCGACGGTTCCTACTCGACTATCCCGAAGTTCAAATCCTTTCTGCCATTCTTGTTGCGGCCAAGTTATGTTTCCCTCTATCAAGAAATCGACCCCTACTCCAAGTTGGCAATGAGCAGAGCTTGCAGTTCAGTTGGCCGAAGTGGCAGAAGGGGGTCAACAAACTGGTGGATGCGTCACAAGCGTCAGGAAAAGAACCGGATTTCAGCAGCGTCACCGTGGACCAGGTCACATCCATGACAATGGAGGAACTCGACAAGTATCTTGCTCATGTTGCGAGCTTGGTTGACAGAAAGAGTGGGTAAGCCAAACAGTTGATCGACGACAGCAGGCTGACAAGGAGCAGACGATCAGGCAGTCACCAGATTCTTCCCGTCTGAGGAAACCCAAGTGGTAGAAGCTCCCTCAAGTGAAAACACAGACCAAGAAACAGATGTCTGGATACGACGTGTCCTCGGTCAAGCTATCAAAGTGACTAGAGAAGAGGAGTCGGATTCAGAGGATGCTCCCCTGGAAGAGCCAAACTATGAGGCTTTCCGTTCAGTGGAAGATCTGACAGACACAGCTCAGGCATTGTATAGAGCTGCTAGTAAGTTATTATTCACAACTTCAAAGAGTCTAAAGCTAATGAAACCCAAGGTCATGTCGCAGGCTTATCACTTGATGAGACAGTGCAGGCAGTTTACATGTTGGAGCAGAGAATCTTGGCTTGGCAGATGGATCAACGCAGGGGAGCAGAATATGAAGCTTTACAAGATGACCCCATTCAGGAATAAAAACATTGATCTCGGGAGTTCTACTCCATCGTTGTAAAGACCATGAGCTCATCATGATAGCTCCGACCTGCCTGTAAGCCGCGGTCCCACATTCGGCGTTAGGCCACCCTCCCCTCCCTGTCTGCGCCTGCCCCCACACAGGGCTCGCATTTTAGCGGTGCGATGCAAAATTTCACGTGACTCGCTAGGGTTTCCTTTCCTTTGAAGGTTGCGCCCCACCAATATTGAGCGCGCAGTTTCGGCTTCTCAATCCTCACATCGTCAGCGTCACAAAAATCAGTCAAGAGTGAGTAGACCCCCCCTATGCGATGGCCGCAGATACACCATGAAGATGTGAATACTGACTTCCTTGCAGTGCAGATGTAAGCCCGATCCCGCCGATGCCGAATTCTCGAAGATGTCGTCCCGAAATCCGTACTAACAGCGCAAACCAGTTTCGTGAAGACCCTGACGGGCAAGACCATCACCCTCGAGGTCGAGTCCTCGGACACCATTGACAATGTCAAGTCCAAGATCCAGGACAAGGAGGGCATTCCCCCGGATCAGCAGCGACTGATCTTCGCTGGCAAGCAGCTTGAGGATGGCCGAACTCTCTCCGACTACAACATCCAGAAGGTGCGTGGGAACGGGCGGCTGGGATGATTCATCCATGCTGCGGATTTTATGCTGGAAAAAGAGGACAAATACTTACGCGACATACAGGAGTCCACCCTGCACCTGGTCCTCCGTCTCCGTGGTGGTATCATTGAGCCCTCGCTCAAGGCTCTCGCCTCCAAGTTCAACTGCGACAAGATGATCTGCCGCAAGTGCTACGTACGTCGAGACCACTGACCTTATTCCGAGAACATGCGCTCACACTCTTTAGGCTCGTCTCCCCCCGCGTGCCACCAACTGCCGCAAGCGAAAGTGTGGACACACCAACCAGCTCCGACCCAAGAAGAAGCTCAAGTAAACGATATCTCCATGGATGTGGCGTCTGGGTTTTGGCATTCGGGGTCGATGGCAGGGACAGAGGAGCCTTCTTTTGTTCACGAGGCAGGTTGTTTTTACTTTAGCATGTGCAGCTCAGGCAATACATTCTAGATGATGCCCATGAAGACGAGCCAGAAGGCATCCAAGCCAAGGGCCCCCCTCAAAAAAAGCAATAAATGCATTCACGCTTCGAGTTGCTGTTGTGTCGATGGATGTGACGGAGATTTGGAGGTGTGTTGAAGGGTACAGGGGTGCAAGGTCGATCATGAACTCTGGAAACAGAGCCACATGGAGATGGTATAATCGATCTCTATTTTTTGAACCACCAAACATGATATTTAGATCATCAGCTGGAACAACTTCCTGTTCCTCTCAATGATAATGGATGCCTTGATTCATTTCATCAATTCGTCTCCGTGCTGCCTGCCCTTGGATCCACTGATGTCAGGAAGGAGGGACATGTGAAGCGCCGGATAAACCCCGGCCCCCTGACACGCCGCGCGCGTGCTCCTGAATTACGACAACTGCCAAACTGTCCCAATTAGAAGCTGACAGCGACCACTAACAGCAACTCTCCCTTGTTATACTGTCCAACTCTCGCGAGCTCCCAGCGTCCTCTCCTTTACTTGCGCATTCTCCTCGAGTTGATCTATAAGAGGGAAAGAGGGAAACTGAGCTCATAATGGCCAGCTCCGGTTACGACGCTGTCGTCGATGTGGATGATGAGGTACGTCTTCATGATGCGTCTCTAGCTACACCAAGCTTCAAGCATCACCAATTCTCGGTCGCCTTTCTACTATAATGCATACCAAAGCTGACGCGACTTCTCCTTCATCTAGGGCGACCTCGGCCACACCGATCTCCAAGAAGACCTCGAGTTCCACACCTCCAACTTCAACGACACAAACCCCAACACCCGCAAGCCCCCGTCCGGAGGAAGCGGCCTCCCTGCGCCAGCTACAGCTTCCACCTCGGGCTCGTCAAAGCGCTTCCTCTGGTCCATGAGCTTCTATGCCCAGTTCTTCGATGTCGATACTTCAGCTGTGCTTGCGCGATGCTGGGCCGCGCTGTTCCCCCGGGCCAACTTCCTCGATGTGCTCGAGGGCAACCCTGACCTTTACGGGCCCTTTTGGATCGCCACGACCGTGGTTTTGATTCTCTTCCTGGGTGGTACTATCAGCCAGTACCTCTCCGACACTGGAAAGGGACCTTTCCTCTATGATTTCAAGCTGCTCAGCGGTATGTTGCTGTTGCCAAGAAGCCGCCCTTATCTTGGATGCTAACATGATGGTCTAGGCGCTGCCGGTCTTATCTACGGCTACACCCTCTTCATCCCCATGGGTCTCTTCCTCGCCCTCCGCTACTTTGGCAGCGAGTCCGCCAACCTCCTCGAGTGCTGGGCCCTCTACGGCTACTCCAACCTCATCTGGATCCCCGTCGCCCTCATCAGCTCTTCGCCCATCTCCATCCTCAACTGGGTCTTTGTCGCCGTCGGCTTCGGCATGTCGGTCGCCTTCCTGCTGCGCAACTTGTACCCCGTGCTCAGCGCCACCGATCGCCAGGTCAGCAAGATCCTGCTTGTCGTGGTGGTTGTTCTGCACGCCGGTCTGGCGCTCGCCATCAAGATCCTCTTCTTTGCTCATGGTAGCCCCGTGGCGAGCAAACCAGATGACAAGAAGGGCAGTCGCATGTTTTAAGTCAGGGAGGTGGACATTTTGTAAAAGAATGTATGCAGTGGAATGTAGGAAGGGGTTTGAATGACACCTGTAAGAAAACGTGTGCTCTTGAGATGATAGGCACGGATGGACCAGAAAGGAGTCTATGGGGGAACAGATCATTTGGCATTGTTTGTACAATAGAGGGCGCTTCTATCTGGCCGGTACTTTTTTTTCCTTTTACTTTCAATTGGTCCTCTCGATCATATTTGGGCAGAGATGTTCCACTATCATGACCTCGATTTTCCATGGACTCGTACACTCGGCTTATTGAGAACCGTCCAAAAAGCCGTCCTCCTTGCTGTCAATCTTCTCAACCGGTCCGTTTTGTGCCTCCCAATCCAGCCAGCTACCGGGATACTCGCCGACGTGCTCCCAGCCAGCGTGCTTGGCCAGCCCGGCGGCAGCCCTCGCGCGCACACCAGCCTTGCAGTAGAAGAGCAGCTCGGCGTCCTTAGGGGGCCGCTCAAAGCCGTAGAGCTCCTCAAAGTCCTCTTCGGCGATGTGGAAGCTCTGGACGGCGCTCGAGATGGGGATGTTGATGGCGCCGGGGATCTTACCCGTCTCGAAGAGTTCGCGGGGTTCACGGACGTCTAATATCACACACACCAGTCAGCTCAGATATTCAATTGTAGTCGAGGGAATCAACGCACCGACAATGACAACCTTGCCCTCCTTGCCCTCCTCAACCTGCTTCTTGATCTCGGCAAACTCCCAAATCTTGCTCCCCGGTACTGTATCCTCGGTCGAGAACCATCGAGCGGTCCTAGGCGCTATGGAGGCGCGGGGCACCAAGGGTTGAATGCGCTGAGCTGCTGCTGCTCGACAGGCGAGGGCGAAGACGGGCCGCGCGGGGCGGATGGCCGAGGAGGCGCGGAGGGCGGAGGAGACGAGGGCGCGGCGGGACGCCATGGCCACGGTTATTATATGTGCGAGTCGGTTGTACGGGAGGGAATTGGGCGTGCGGGAGGCGGCGCAGATGGAGGAATGGACGGCGACGTTGAGCTGGTTGATGGGTTGAAGTTGAGAAAAGCTACCTTAGTAAGGGTGTTTGCCAAATCGGGGAGCTTGGGCCCGCCGAGATGGGAATGATATAAGGCCTGCTCCGGCTGAGAGTGCCAATGAGGAGCGTATTGCAAATCAATTATCGGAGAAAGGTTGGTTAGATGTTATACTGTACTATCCCTGGCGAGGTATTCTTCATAGGTTTCGCCTCTGTACAACTGAGGCTTGCTGTTGCTAGACATGACGTGGATCGGCCATGACCTTGGGCTGGTAACGTGACCATGATGGACAAAGCCCATGCTGACTGGGTATCCGAGATCCAGATCTAACGTCACTTCAACACCATGGTTTCTATCAGCACCCTTTCCCACCGACAATCATTATCAAGTCAAGTTTAAATCATTTTCTTAATTCGCTGTCCAAAGGCCTTGTTCCTGGCCACCATCATGCTTCTATGACCTTGCGGTCCCAAATCCCTAGCCTTCAACTATTTACACTCCGAAAGGGTATTACAACTGATATCCATCATGTCTTTTCGTCTTCTTGTCTTGGAGACATTTTATCTCGTCAAGCTTTTTTCGAGGCTTGCTTCAGTAGCTGCCGGGCTTATCCATACCCCGGCAGCGTTTCGTTCAACCGAAGGCCAGATGCTGTTTCTGATTCGTTCTTAGTCATCCTTGTTGTTCTGCTTCTTTTCAGAATCATGACATAACCCAAGACAGGTGGTCTATCGTCACCATTTTGGGTCAGTCCAAGGGATGGTCGAATCAAGGGTGTTCGAAGGTCTCACAAGTGTGAGATAACATTCGCTAGACACCCTTTACCACTTCCTCTCCTCAAAGGTAAGAGGGCAGTCATCCTGCAACATGTCAGTCACTGGTCATTTCAATGCACACAGTCATAGCACGTACCATGGGGAAGATAGTGGCAAACACCTTGATCTCCTCAGATTTAGGGGTAGCGTGGTGCTTCCAGTCGAGCATCACCGAGGCCTTTCCGATCATGAGAGCGAGGTTCAGCTGCGCGTAGACCTGGCCAAGGCAGTAGTGAGGGCCAACACCAAACACCAAGTAGTTCTTGGCACCCTTCTCCTCAGCATCACCCTTATAGTAGCGGTCGGGGTCGAAGTAGTCGGGGTTCTCGTACACATCGGGGTCGTGAAGAGCCATGTAGGTGGTGGGGATCAGCATGGAACCTATTGTTATATTGCGGTCAGTTTTTATAGTCCACAAAACACGGACAAGTGCATCCGTCAGGAATCGACTTACCCTTGGGCACAGTGTAGGAGTCGGTGATGGGGAAGGCCTTCTTGGTGACATAGGGGACCATGATCACGGGAGGGCGGTATCGGAGAAGCTCGCGGACGACAGCACGGGTGTAGGTGAGGGACTCAAGCTGGTCCATGGTAACAGCGGCGTTGGGGTCACCGTTGCGGACCTTGATGTTCTCCTCTCGGACGCGGTCGAGGACGTCGGGTCGCTGGGCAGTGACCTGGAAGAGCCAAGTGGCGGCACTGCTGGTGGCATCCTGAGAAGCAAACAGGAAGGTGAAGATAGTCTGGGAAATCTCGTAATCGTTGAACATGCGAAGGAGGGGAGTGGGCTTCTCCATGCCATCAGCCTCGCCCTTCTCGTCGGCCTCACGCCATCGCTGCGACTGAACCATTGCCAGAACCCAGGCGTCCATGATGCAGGTAACTTCACCACCTGCAGCCATGCGGACCTTGCTCTTAGCAGCGCACTTGGAAAACTCGTGGAGGACCATGTCGGCGGCCTTCTTGCCGTACCAAGACTTGGTCCAGGGGAGAATAACGGGGAGGTTAACAAGCTCGAGAGCGGCGGTGATCAGGTAGTAGTCGTGGGCAATCTTCTTGACAGCCTCGTCGGAGATGTAGTGGCCGACAAAGGTGCGGCAAGAAACGGCGCACATGACCTCACGGAACTCGTGCATGAAGGGGACGGGCTTGCCGCCAGCCTCCTGGGTCATCTGCAGGAAGTGCTTAAAGTAGGTGTTGTACGACTCCTCCTGACCGGGCAGATAGCTCTCGAGAGCCTTGCGGGTGAAGAGGCCGTTCAGGCCCTTGCGGAACTCAACATGGGCCTTGCCGTCCAAGAAAACCCAGTTGTCGTGGCCAAGCAGCTTGGGAGCGACGTCGACGACAGTGGGCTTCACAAATCCGGGGGAGTTGAAGACCTTGCGGGCCATGTCACGGGTGGACGCAATGACAACGAACCTGAAAACACACATCATGTCAGTTTTGTCCTGGCATCATGACTGGTTTTCCCAGCAGGGGTAGCAGGCAACATACTTGTGGAAGATGGAAACACAGCTCAGGGGACCACTCTCCCACTTGGCGTGGTAACCGTCAAATCGGGGGTCCATAGAGTCGAGGAATGGGCCGATAAAGGGCATCTTCCACGAGGGGCCAACAAGAGAACCCTTTTGCATAATGTAGCTAACTGCAAAACAGGATGTGGTTAGCGATGCCGGCTTTGGCGCAGACAAGAGTAGAAGACGCACTCTGATCATATACGACGCAAACAGCGACGATAGTGGCGATCCAGGTCCAGATGCCGGCATTGGAAACAGCATCGATAACAAAATCGAGTTGAGGGGGAATGCCGACATTCGCATACTTGGAGTTGGCGAGGACCGAGGTGAAGCCCCCGGTAGAGTTAACGGAGGCCATTGCAGCGGTGATTGCGACTCGCGAGAGTCAAATCAAGGCTGAGCTGGTATAAATCGAAACGAAGTTGGGAACAAGTCGAATCGCGTCGCGAATCCGAGTTCGGGGACCGTCTGTGATGTTGAGATGTTGGTCTTGGTAACCGGACCAGGCCAACCTCGATGATTACTCTTTCAAGCAATCAATCGATACACTCTCTGCGGTCGAAGAGTGTAAAAGGGCGAGGGGTGATGTGGAGGGAAAGGAGGAGGGGGAGAAGAGAGGAGGAAGGGGAAGGGCAGAAGTAATAGTGTTGTATCTTGTCAGGGAGGTACCAGACGGGAGGGTTAGTAATTGCCCGCCCTCTGTGCTGCTTCTGGAGACGGGTCACTCTCTGTGGTCCGCAAGCGCCGAGAAAAGAAGGGTACGAGCCAAGTTGAGATGCCCGTTGAAAAAAATAAAAGAGGGCCCTTCCGGGGTTCAAGGTCCCAGGGTGTGAGCGAGGTGAGGTGTGAGGTGTGAGGTGTGAATGCGCGGGTGCAGCTAAGAGCGGAGAATAAATGGATGCAAGGTGTAGGATTCCGGCGGGCTCGGGGAATATGATGATGCCGGTATAGGTGCAGTATTTTGTTTTTGAATTCAATGGCAGATATTCAGGTTGCTTGTGCGAGAAAGAGAAGAACTGTCGTCCGTCTACATTGTTTTCATTGACGTCTGTTGTGACTTCTCTGAACAAAGTGGTTGACCAGGGGGCGTGAGATGGATCTGGAGGTGGACCTGGATGGTTGAGAATGGTGGGGAGGTCGGAAAGCCACACACACCCTCACAGAACCGAGACGCGCTCAACTGGGTTTTTTGGCACAGGGCTTGGGGCTCTTCAACCGAACTGTCACAGCTTTCTGAGGTACCAATTGAGTAACCATGTTCTTCTACTAGGTAATTGATCCTACTCAGTGCCGTTTCCCGTCAAGCCGAGACTGATCTGATCTACCAGCTCCGAGATAGTGACCGGCACCTCGCAATTTGGCCAGCTCCCCATGTCAATCAATTTGCTTGCTGGGCCTCTCATTTCAATTCTATGTGGTGCCAATTTTCCTTTCACTCGCTCATCATCCCCACCGCATGCATTCCTATCGCGGTTTAGTCTCCGATGTTTAATTGGGATTCAGAGGCCATGTCTGGGTGTGATGTAGTCGGCCGGGTGCGTCGCTGTCCGGGACCTGGAAAAGCAGGCCACTTTGCGGTGCGGTACGCGGTACGGCATACCGGCCGGTGACAGGAAGGAAGGAAAGAAGGGGGGACCGCTTTGCGCTTTCCGCACCTCGCACCTTCCCATGCGTATCGTCGCCGCTTTTAGCGGACCTTGTGACCACCCCTAGAGTTGTCCTTCAGCAACTCTTCAACTTGCTCTCGGCACCAATTGTTTACAATACGCCAGCCAGCAACTCGCAATTATCGTATCCGTACTGACGGAGCAGCCCTATGCCTTACCCGCTTCTCCTGCACTCCCTTTCCGCTTGACGCCCACCGCCTCGCCTCGAGCCTCTGTCCGTTAAATCCGCTTCGTTACAGATCTGAGCGGGTCTCTTCCCTTCCTCTGGGACGGGCATTCTCGCCATGTTAGAAACCCCGAATCTTTTCTGCATCGTACGTTTCTTATAGACGGCTGTGCCCTCTGCCTGCTTGTCCCCCTGACGCACGGCACTCAACAAACTCCCCGGCAGCATCCGACAAGCTTGTCAATGGGTGGCTTGGGACTGGCGCCATCCATCCCGTCTGCCTTTTGTTAGCTGTCAAGCGCCGACATCCATGGTCAAGACGGCCGCGACAATGACTGAAACAGTCCCTATTCAACCCGCCTACCCACTCGGACAACTCAGCAACCCATATCACACATGGCACAAGTGCGAAGTCCGTGTCTCCACGACCGACTCACCTTACCAGTCCAGCCTGATCGTTTCTCAATGGCTCCATCATCTGACCGGTCGTTCAAATCGCCCAGCCCCGTCAACAAAGCCGTAGTCAATGCGCATGAGGCTGATGGATGTTTTCATCTTGACAAACCTTGAAGGGTCTCGACTGGTGCTTGAACCAGCATGTCCCTGCTGATGCGGGGAGGTGGTCTATTCATGGACCAGGGAACGGACCTCTTGAGTTTTCAGACATGGAAATCATAGGGAAGCCATTGGATGAGACGATGAATACCCTTTGTCGACATGTGGGATGGGGACATTCCTTTCTGCATTCTTGAGCTTGCGATGGCTCACACGACTCATCATGAGCAACACTACGCTCTATCGAGGTGTGTCATGGAGACTCAATTAGCGGTTGTCATGGCTCGGTCGATCAGGGAAATGCACAAAGGCGGCGCTGCAAGCTAGCCTCACTTGGCATCGGCTTGTGAAATCCCAGACTTCATTGAGTTCACTCCCACCCACTCCAAGCAGCACCATCCGACAGAAGGCTGTTATCCCATTGGTGCATCTGGGGGATTCAAGCTCACAGAGCCAGGGGCACTGCCAGTCAGAGACTGATGGATGGCAAAGATTCATCTCCAGGGACCTACCCTAGCTCGATTTCTCAGATTGGAGAGCTCCATCCCGTCAAGAACCAATCCGCGAAGCCCCACCTGCGAGGAACGGCAGGTATCGTCGGTGCGACGCCAAGCACCCGGGAATACGACGTATTCGGTCGCCTGGAAATATCCCGGCATTATGCTCGCCGGCCTCAGTTGTTTCTTTCTAGGATACAAAACCCTGAGTGGTGTATTCCGATTTGAACCTGCGAATACGCTTCCACGTATTACAACAAGAGCAGATCCTTTCGACCACAAACGAGTATCTCGGGCATATCACCGCTTTGCCACCCGGATTGGGAAATGAGCCACATGGCTGGGACCACTTTTCGACGCCTTTAGAATGATCTTGTTGTTGTTGTCCTCAACATGTTTTCCACATCGGCAGCCTCGGGGCTTGGAGGTTGCTCTCCTTGGAAGAGTGTCGTCCCGCGACGGATCATGATTGGACAATGGAGACTTGCACGGCCAATGGAACTTGACCGCTTTTCAGATGACTAACCAAGTGGGTGTGGTCTTCTCTGAATCCCAGCTCATGATGGACGGACCGCGGCGGGACATCGATTGTCGAGACCGGATACGAATACGAACGAGGACAACACGACGGGACTGTGCCGCAACCCCCAGTCGAATCGTGGCGTGGCGTCCCGACAGTGCATTCTCCAACAAGCAAGTCACTTACAGCGTCACGCCGGGGACCTTTGTGCGTGCAGCTGTACTTGTTGCAAAATCTGGAGGGCAATGATAGGGACAAGGTCTGCACAGTGTTGGGATGACAGTCCCTGTTATGTGCTTTCCGCGCACCGAGCTTGGTCTGATAACAATACTGTCACCTCCCCATGATTCAAATCAAAGTTGGCCAAGAAGTCTGCCAAGGCTGTTCTGGATAAGCTTATTGCAGGGCACTCTGGCGTGCGTTTGCCATGCCTCTGTTGCCCACGACCGACGTCACAACCCTCTCTCCCTCTTTTCCTTAGCGGCCGACGATATGACGGAGTGCGGACCGGAGCCCTCAGAGTGAGCGGTACGTACTCTCTGAGGCTAGAGGTGGGGGATCATCACAATCAGGAGGGGTTCAGCATCACATCATTTGGGCTTTTGCCTACCCTGCACTTCCACCACCTTGATGATGGACTTCTGTCGAGCAGTGCGGTTGATGGGCCCAATTGTTACCCATTTGACACTCAGATGTGCGCCCGATGGTCTAGGCAGGGTTCAAAGCTCAGGGGTTTTCTCAGTCTACGGGAGGTCTGAAGGTTTAGACTTGCCGCCCTCCCCGCTTTCATCACCTTGACACTCGGTCGGTGATATGCATGACATTGGAGGAGTATATCAGCATCAGTCCTCTCTAATGCCTTTCCTCAACAGGGTAGCCCGTGTCCTTTCGCCCAGAGCCGGATAACTAGCCCACGAGATGGCACATGCTCTGGACCTATATCAAGATACAACAACAGTCCTCGTCGTCTCAAATCTCACAACCACGTCATCGACTACCACATGTTTCACGGCTAATCCTGCGTCACACGCTTTACTGGCGGCACTTTTAACCCCTTGAAAACCTGGCCGTCGCCGGCAGATTGCGTCATGGCCTCACAGAGCCACGAGGCATGAATCAAGAGTTACCCTATAGCATTCCAGGACTGCCATCTTGACCGGCACGATCCAGAAGGGGCAGCTGGAAAGGAGGGTATTCATTGGTATTCGTTGACTTTGGGCATGAAAGAAAGTGGATTTCCCGTGCGAGCTACGTAGGCCTGCGCGTGGCTGCTTGCGGAACAATCTGAAGTAAGCCAGGGCTGGCAGGCAGTTTGAGTTAGAATGGGTCGCGGTCACGCCTCAGGCCGACTGTGGTTTGTGGATATAATACTGGGCAGCATCCGCAACCGCAGCATCATCAACTCTGAAGCTGCATATACAACTACGAGATTCCGAGAGAATCATCAAAACAACCAAGACCAACCCAATACCCATCAACGAAACCACATCACCATGCCTACCTACATTGTGAGCTAGCCTCTGAAACCACTGCACCTGCACGAGAACGCCAAGCTGATATCTTCTGCCTAGGTCACTTGCAAGGACGACGCCAGCCCCGAGCAGGTCGAGTCGTACGTACTACGATGATGATATATGCTTGGAAGTGAACTGACAGAGGATCCCCGAATAGAGCCAAGCAGCACGCCAAGGACCAGGGCGGCAAGATCACCCACGAGTACTCCCTTATTAAGGGCTTCGCGTAAGTTCCTACTGGGAAGCATTTAAGCTTCCGTGTCCCTCGATGGCTCCAAACGCTGACAAACTGTGCGCAGTGTCGAATACCCCAACGATGCCGTCCAAACCCTAGAGAGCCATGAGCACATCCAGACCGTCGAGGCCGACCAGGAAGTGAGGACGCAGTAGATGCAGGGAAGCGGCGATATACCAGATAGACGGTCGATGTGTTTAGAATTCACAGAGATCTGCTGCCTGCTGGCGTCTCGATAGAAGCACAATATCAATGAACACCGTTATGAGGATGTTGATGCTGTCTCCCATGATGAGACACTGTCGCAGTGATTTGAAGGATTGCGTTGATGAAGCAACAACGAAGCCCATCATGGCTTGTAGTCCAAACCAAATCACTACTCCTAGCCATACACACTCGCGACAGATACCATCAAACACCTTGATATCTCGACATGGTGATGCCCCTCGGCGGAAGTGGGGGACCGGGCCGGTAGGTGACGTATTGTCACGGCCCCGCGGCCCTTGGATAGCCTAGAATAACCCCCGCAGCATCCCGTCGATAAGCCGGCCGCAAGCGCGCTAACGCTCCGCACCTTCCCCGGAAAGAGCGACGACAAGAGTCATTCATCCCAGTCTCAACTACCGATCGACATTTGACACATTCACACATACACACACATTGAGTTCAATCATATTATACACACGAGTGCATAAAGAGGGCTACATCCCCGCCCAGAATGCCGCGATGAATGCAGCATCCCACGCCAGGTCAATGACCCGTCGCGTCACTCAGAGGCTTCAATCCTGGACCTGGTCCCCAGCAGCAGCAGCAGCTCACGGCCCTTGGCAACGGCAGCATCTATCCCAATGGAGGGCATATAGACAACTGCAGCGAGGTTCTGCCCTTGCGAGGCTGCCGACGCGGAGATGCATCCATACACAGCAGGTTTCGGATGACGAGATTGCGACCTTGGCTCGGCAGCATCAACATCCACTCAGCCTTGCTGATCTTGTGAGGTATGTTTACTCTCGAGGCTCACGTCTACAACCTCTATATACTATAGATACTGACATGGCTTAGACATGGACGTCCTCCCCTCGCTGCCGATTCCCTTCTATCGTCTGCAAACTTCGCCCTCTCCCTCCTCCCCGTGCGCCTCGCCCACCGCATCCAGGCCCTCCGCAACCTCCCTTACATCGTCGTCGCGAACCCCAACATCTCGCGAATTTACAACAACTACGTCCATTCACTATCCATTTTACTTCCTTACTGGCATGCCACACGAGAGGGTCGTCCCATATCGACAACCGAGGATGAAGTCCGCTTCACAAACGTCCTTGCCGAGCTCGTGGCTACGCATACAGATACCATCCCCATCCTAGCAAAGGGCTTCCTCGAGTGCCGTCGTTATATATCTCCCGAAGAGGTGACTCGGTTCCTTGAGCATCATCTACGCGCTCGAATTGGCACTCGTCTCATTGCCGAGCAGCACATCGCCCTGCACTTCAGCTCACAGTCGCATTTCAACCCATCGGCCAGCCCCACGCCGTGCCCTGAGCATCCGTCCTACATTGGCGTTATTGATACCGCTCTTCGGCCTGCTCAAATCGTCGAGTCATGTGCGGGCTTCGTCGCCGACATTTGCGAGCTTCGATATGGCGTCCGGCCTCTGTTGTATATAGACGGCGAGCCAGACACCACATTCGCATTTGTCCCCATGCATCTTGAGTACATCGTCACCGAACTCCTCAAGAACGCCTTCCGTGCCACCGTCGAGAGCAAATCCAAGGAACCTGTAATCGTCACTATTGCCCCTGAACCCGGGAACCACCAGAACTCCCCACCATCGCCGTCAAGCCTCCCGGCCAAGGAGCCCGCCCCTGTTGTCCTTCGTCCCTCAGAGGACGATGATCGCAGTGCTTTCCGTAGTGGAGCTATAGCACCTCTCGATGACAACGCCCCCGGTGTGACGATCCGTATCCGCGATCGCGGTGGCGGCATCCCGCCAGACGTGGCGCCTAGCATCTGGTCCTACTCTTTCACCACCTTCACCGATGACCCAGACAACGTCCCAGGCTCAGGCAGCGGTAACGACGGGCTAAGCGCCATCTCGGCCGCCAGCACAGGTGGGAGCTCTATTGCAGGCCTGGGCTATGGGTTGCCCTTGAGCAGGGCCTACGCAGAGTACTTTGGTGGTGGCATCGCCGTGCAGAGCCTATATGGCTGGGGCACCGACGTGTACCTTCGACTCAAAGGTGTAGGAAACCTGGACGGCAAATAGGAGAGCCCAAGTTGGATTGAAGGACCTTCTATATCTGTGGACTCACAGAACCCGACCGTTGACCGAACGAGGAAGTCAGGCTATGAGATGGCATTGGATGATCTATGGAGACAGCAATGACTGTGTCTACATGTTACACGAGACAGCGAGGTAATGAGAGGAGAGGATTAAAGAGCGCATGACAAGATCAATAGGATAACCAAACAGCGAATGAATAACAACAACAAGACTAGGAATATCTAGCTGAGATAGTTGACAGGTAATTGATACTGTCTATAAAGAGTGTGTTCGTTTGACTGATATCATCATCCACTCACCAAAGCAAGAGCACGCACTAACAACACTAATAACAACAGGTAGGAAACAATGTTAAGCAGAGTAGATAGCATTAAGAATATTGAAGCGAGGGCATTCTCTTCCGAGTCCCAGCCAGCCCAAATCCTGCCGTTGATGCCATTAAGAGAAAAGAGACTGGGATGAAATCATGGATGTTTACAAGAAAAGTTGCAAGAGTATAAAGACTTCTTTCCAAGGAATGACTCCCGTTCTGCCCAAGGTAGATAATAATAAAAAGAAAACATGATATAACGCCGCCCGAGAGATTCTTCTTCTCACTTTCATTTTTGGAAAACAACCCAAAAAAGCCCTTTCCTTTCTCTTCTTTCCCCCCTCCCACCGATTTGTCGCCAGCAACTCTATTCAAGAAATGAGTAGAAGCGCTTGCTGCGAGGCGCTGTATAGACACCCAGCCAAAGGTATGTATGTGCCAGTATTAGAACGAGTAGATAAAAAAAAAACACATCTTTCCAAAATTCCTTTCTTTCTTTCCAATTCAAGTCAAGTCATCCAAAATCACATGTTCTCCAACTCGTGATCGATCTGGCGATCCATGAATGTGCGTCGCTCGCCAACCAGCTCTGTCTGGAGACGCTGTTCCACGAGGGCCCTGACCTGCTTCTTGGTAACCGTGTCGAGGTCGACCTCGGCCAGGACAGAGCGGATCGACTCAACAATGGCCATGTCGTTGGGTCCAGAATGGCCTTGTTGGAAGTCGAACGACGACTGTGATCGCATGGCGTCAGGCATGGGAGAAGGAGCACCACGGTTGAAGCCGAGAGCAGTGCCCGAGCGGCTGTGACCGCCCATGGCAGGCGAGAGGTTAGCCTGGCCTCGGAGGTTGTTCACGCTGGGTCGCTGTCCGGGGATGTCTTGATACGGCGACTGGCTGCGCATGTCATGAATGCCTGTGCCCATAGACATCATGGACTGGCGGTTCTGCATGGGGGAGTCCTGGTAACCCATGGTGGATGTTCGGCCGTGGCCAAAGGCAGGGGACTGAGGAGGCTGGTAAGGGTTGCCACCGGGCATGCCAGTCAGGACAGAGCCCTGGGGTCCAGCAGAGTAGACAGACTTGATCTCATCCATCTCATACTGGTCTCCGAAAGAGTAGTCGTTCTTCTCCTGGTAGCCGCCACGACGTCCGGGAAGGTTGTTGGCAAGGGCATAATCGTCCCATCGCTGCAGAGGAATGGAGCGAGGGTCAAAACCTTCCTCGTCGACAGCGACAACCTGCTTGTTACCCTTCTCTCCGATGACGATACGGGTGTTACCCCATGAGAAGTTGTCCTGGTTCCAGAAGGAGTAGACGGGGAGAATGAGAGAGAAGACTGGGAAAGCGAGCAGGTAAATGATCATCCATCCGATGTGTTGCCACTGTCTCTTGAGGATGAAGATGAGGGCCTGAAGACCATACACAGCCGCAATCATGGCGAGCGAGATATATGGGATCGGGCCCGTCTTGGTCGCAAGCGTGTAGATGAGGTAGGCGATGTAGGCACACATGGAGGGAAGAGTGATGGTACCGAAGAGATCAACGATAACGACGAAACGCATGCTGAAACAACAGAAACCACAGAGCTCCTTGAGCTGGATCAGCTCGATCAGATTGTGGATGGTCGAGTTGATCCATCGTCGACGCTGGGACAACAGAACGCTCCAAGACTCGGGGGCTGCAGTCATACACTGGGCATCAGGAATAAACTTATAGGACATGGTGGGGAAGTGCTTGGTCATGAGGGTTGTGAGATAACGATCCTCACCAAGAGCCAGAAGGTTCTTCTTGTGAAGGGTATCCACGTCGCAAACACTGTAGTCCTTGATGATGTCGTCAGAGATGATCAGAGGCTTGCCCTTGTCCGCAGTCCTGAGTCGGTACATGGTGAAACTGAAGATGGGTTAGTGAGTGGGACATTGGAATTGGGGACATAATTGACATACCATCCGGGCAAACAAGTAACGCTGCCAAAGAGAGACTCGAAGGCCTTGGCGAGGTGATGGGAGATGAAGTATTCGTAAACCTGGATCATGGTCCACCATGTCTTCTCATCGTTCTCGAGACTGGTCTCACCGCAGATACCGGCGATCTTGGCATTGTGGGCACAGGCGGAGACGAGACGGTTGAGGGAGTCCTCATTGACGCAGGTATCAGCATCAACCATCAGAAGATACTCATAAAGTTCAGGATCCACGCCGATGATGTTGTTGATCTGATGGAACATCTCAAGCTCGAGGGGAGACATAGGAGCGCGGTGATGGACGCGGTTGAGGAAGCTCATCAGAAGAATCTGAGAATCACGCTTGCCACGGTTGCCAGGCTTGGCCTTGGACTGTTCAGACTCCTTGCCAACCTTGACGACGACCAGATAGGGGACGACATTGCCTTCATACTCGTACAGACCCGAGTAGACCTTGCCGTAGTTGAGCTGTTCGCTAGCGGTACCGACCGACTTGAAGGGAAGCGCAGGAGGGTCGACCTTGGGGTCAACACCGAGAATGTCCAGGACGATCTTGGGGGTGGGACGGTCGTTACCCTGACCGACAATGACACCATCACAGATGACACAGATGAGCTTGCGCTTGTTGTCATACTGAAGAGCAGTCAACGAGTCGAGAGCCTTTCGAAGTGAGTCTTCACCTTCGGTATATGCAGGGACCTGGCAGATGACGAATTTGTCCTGAGGGGAGGGTCGTCGCTTTGAGCCGAACTGGAGGGCTGAGAGGAACTTGATTGCGATGACGGAACAGATGATGACGGCAAAGGCCAAAAGCAGGTAGTTGTTGACTTGGCACTTGGGTGTGTCACGGAAATCAGTCACACCCTTGTAGCCAATGTTCTGGATGCAGGCCCAGCTGTTGACGATGTTGGCGTGCTCAGTCTTGTTGCCAGTCGAGTTTTCAATCAGAGCATCCAAATCCTTCTTGATGTTCTTGCCAGGGTTGTTCTTCCAGAGGTCAGATACATCCTTGTTCAGGAAGGTATACAGAGAGAAATCGTCCATCAAGTCGAGGGTATGGAAGTAGTCCGTAAGATCGTAGAGCTCGTTGCCGTACTTGGCCCATGGCTTCTGGTTGTTTTCTCCCTCATTCTTGATCTCCTTCTCCTTCCAGACAAGCTGGCCGTGGTAGTATTCCTTGATGGCGGGCTCGAAGGTGTTCCAGTACCATTTTTCATTATGAAGGTTGCTGGTGGGGTTGGCCTGGAAGTATCCGGAGGTGTGGATAGCAGTGCGGTCGTCGATGGTCTCGTTGGAGATAAGCCTCAGGGTCTTGGTGATTCCCAGTCCCTGGCATGCGATGTTCAGGGGCAGTGGGAAGTAACCATCCATCACCAGTCCAGCAAGGGGCAACATGTTGGTCTCGGTGGTATCAATGTCAGTGTCACTGTGCTGCTGGCGCCAAAAGTCGCTGATGTCGTAAACCTTGCCATAAACAGCAACCCAAAAGTCCTTCTTGCCACTGTGGTTCTTAAGTTCCTTGGCGGTCCAGGCCTTGTCGTTGTTGGGGCACAGAAGTTTACCAAAGCCAATGATCCAGAAAATGATCATACCGTTGAGAAGTGCAATCAGGAAACACAGGACAAGCTTCTCACGCCAAGCCATACGGACATCAGGTCGCCTCATACGACCAATGTACGTGAGGAGAGGGGAAGGAATCCAGAAAGTGAGGGCCCAGACAAATGTGACCCAAGCACGTCGACCAAAGGGCAGCTCCTTGGTCTCAATCTTCTTATCTTTGGCCAGTTCAGGGTCCAACATGCCCGTGAACTCACCGTCTTCGTTGTAGTAGACCTGGCCCTTGTAGGTGTCACCCTTGGTACCGAGACCGTAGTCACCCGCGCTGATATTCCGCGACGGGGCAATGGAAGGCGCAGAGTTGGGATTGAGGTTCAGGTTGGGGTTAGGGGCCAGGTTGGGGTTAGGGGCCAGGTTCGGGTTCAGATGAGGGTTCTGACCAACGGTGACCTGGCTCATGTTGCCCTGGCTGAAGTTGCGGTTGTGCACAAGATGGTCGTTGCTTCCATTGATGCTGTTGTCCATGGCGGGGGGAGGGAAGAATCCGCTGCCGTTGTTGGAGTAGCCAGTATCGAAGCCAGTGTTGAACGGGTTCTGGCCGATGCTCTGCAGGCTGTGTGCGGGCTTAATATCGAGCATGCTCTCAGCCTCCCACCAGGGGCCCTCACGGACCCAAACGCGCTCCTTTCCGATGAAGATTTCGCCATTGCTCCATCCCCGCTCCATCATCCACGTCTCGATGCCGTCCTTGCCGTCCTTGCATCCGAGAGCACCATAACGCTGGACAAACTCGTCGACATCAAAGTCGGCGGTATAGTCGAGGTTGCGGCTGCGACGGTTCGCCCACTCTGGAAGCCTCCAAGAACGGAGCTGTCGTGAAACAGTGCCAGCTGACCAGGCGGATGTGATGGCAGGCAGAGCAGCCAGATTGGCAGGGGAGTCGTCAGTGGGGTGGAGTGAAAGGTGGTACCAGGCACGGCTAGAGCTCAGCACGGCGGGCAGATCGAAACGTCCAGCTCGGCCCAAGTTGATACCCTCACCTGGAATGGGGAAGAGCAGCTTCTTCAAGAATCCGTCATCCTCCGATGCATAGGCAACCTTCTCCAGTATCACTTCCCGCTTCTCAAGGTCATGTTGTCGGTCACGGCC